AAAAGAAAAAAACAGTAAGCAAAAAAAGAAGTTAGGGCATGCATGTGGGTATGGCAAAACCAAGAAAGCAACCCGAAAAAATGATCATCCAGTGAGACCGTTGCAGAAAACCGGTTGGGCCCAGTGGATAGAGCTTCGAGCCTGCGGGGTGAAAGGTCCAGGGTTCGTTCCGGTCAAGGGCATGTACCTGGGCGCGGGCACATCCCCAGTGGGAGATGTGCAGGAGGCAGCTGATCGATGTTTCTCTCCCATCAATATTTCTAACTCACTATCTCTCTCCCTTCCTCTCTGTAAAAAATCAATAAAATATATTTAAAAAAAAAAAAACAGTGAGACCGTTGAAAAGGTCACATTTATGATATATTTAATACCTATTCCTTTATAAAGTTATACTTAAATATCCCAGATATTCCTGAAAAAAAAAAGTGGACTGGTATACTGTTGGGAAAAGGGAGATATTCTGAAAAGGAAAAAGTTGAACTCCCCCAAACAATGCAGGTTTTCCTATAAAATTATTAAAACCAACAGGCAAAATGATGACTACCGACAAAGAACCTTTAGTATTAGCTTCCATTGAAATAGCGATTGCAAATAGTTTTTCCAAATTTGGTAGTTCAGAGGAATAGAGAGGCTTATGTATGAAAGAAAAATGGTCAGGGGAGGAGTATGCATGGGGTTTCTGACTCATAAGTTTTATCTCAGAATATACTTCCCCGTTCCCTCCCTCCCTCCCTATCTTTTTTTTCTTTCTTAAATGACTTCACTAGAGTAAGTGTGCTAGGCACTTAATTACCTAAAATAGAATAAAGGGCAGCCAAATGACAGTAATTAACACCAGAGTAAGAGAAGTTTGTCATCTCACTTCCCCACCCCATAAAAGTGAAGCCGAAACTCTTTGGACTCATTGAAGAGGCGTCCTCTGCCAGCCTCAGGGGAGAAGCCTGGGGAGCCCACGCCGGCCTGGCGTCTGACGTCTGTGAGCCCGCCCACTGGCCACGTCAACGCTAAGGTGGTCTCTGCTGTGGGGTGTTTCTCGATGACCGCACTGTGAAACCAGTGGAAACGGAGGCACCATCCTTCTGCCGGTGGGACTTGAGCCATTAGGAGAAAGGCCGGTCACGGATGGACCAACCTGCCATTTGGCCAGAAGGCCTCCTCCCCATCGTCCCTCCCTCACGGGGGTGCCAGCAGCAGGACATGAGGCAGCGAATGTGAATGCTACTGAAGCCGCTAACAGTAGCCATCACCAGGTGGTTTAGCTATGACCATTATGGTTGGCACCTCAGCCCACATCTCTTTGCAGTGGTTCCCATCCAGTTGGGTTAACTTGCAGTGTGTGGCCACACTGACAGCAGACGGGACAAGCCCTCTAGTAAGGAGGGCAGCAGATCTGAGCAACGGGAGAGGCACGTGGGTGTGGGGGTCAACGGGGTGGGTTCTACAGCCAGGTGGTCTTGGTTTTGGAACCCTGGCTCTGATACTCTCTAGCTGGATGACCTTATGTAAGTTACTTACATTCTTTGCACCTCAGTAAAATAAGAATGATAAAAGGTACGGATGAAATAGGCTTGCTGTAAAGAATAAGTGAGTTAATCTGTATACGATGTTTGGAAGACTACGTAGCATATGGTTAAGTCCTCATTAATTAGCTACTACTACCACTACACTACCACTGCCAGTACTATCATCATCATCATCTCTGTTGTCAATATAACTAGTGGAAGGCAACAACACTCTTGTCTTGAGGGTCACTCCATAGGCCGGATGCCCTCCTTGTAAACTGAGTCAGGCGCCAATTGCCTACTCACCATAGGACACAGAATCGCCCTGGGCTATCTCCTTGAAGAGACCAGAACCATCGAGGTCGGGCACCCCGAGGGAAGCCTGCAGAATGGTGGAAAACTCTTCCTCTGAGATGTAGCCGTCCTCATCAAGGTCAAAGAGCTGCAGGAAACAGAAAAGAAAAGGGAAGAATGAGCTCCCTCAGAGCAAGACTCATGCGGAATAATCTCAGGAAATAAACTCTTGAATAATGCAAACATTCACCGTGCAGGGTGTCTGTGGCCCTCGCCACACGTCTAGGTGAGTGGGGGGAAGAGACGAGATTAAACTAGGGGCCACCACAGTGCGAAGGACAGAAGGATATGGGAGTCCCCTGGAGGCGAGAAAGGGGACTCCTCTCCGGAGAGGTCAGGAAAGGCTGGACAGAGGAGGTGACACGTGAGTTGGGTCTTAGAACCTCAAGAGACATTCCCGGAATCTACAAGGACTGGCGGGGAACTGCCTGGGGCTCAAGTCAGGAGACTGAAGAACAAGCAGGAATCAGCCCACGGTGGAAATGTAATGGCTCACCTGACCCCGTAGGAGCATGTGGCTGGGAATGTGGTGTGGTCACATGTGAACTGACAAAGCTCTTTGAGGCAGGGTGTGGAGGTGGGAAGCAGAAGGTTAATAAAACTAGAATCAGGAAAACCAGTTAAGAGTCTGGGGTGGAAAAGCAGGAAGGACACGGGAAGGGGAGGAATTATAAGGAAGCAAAAACAGGGCTTGCATATCGATTAGAGGTCAGTATGAAAGAATGGAAGGATTTTTTTTTAAGTCAAGTAGCAGAACAGAAACACTGATGGATAACTAGTATTCCATATTCAAAATCCTCTCCTGGGCATTAAAAAAAATAATATAAGTACTGACTCTGTGCAGGCACCGCTCAAAAGTATTCAAATCCCTTTACATGTATTAACTCATTTAACCCTTACAATAGTCTTGGGTACGGGTGGTGTCATTATCAGCCCCATCTTACAGACGAGAGAGCTGAGGCCCCAGGTAACTTTCCCAAGATCACGCAACTCCTACACGGCAGAGCTGGGATCCACATCCAGGCAGATAATACCTAGAGCTGCTGTTGGTAAGGTATCCACTTCTGACCAAATGCAAGATCAAGAACAAGAAAAAACATGACAGCTAGGCATGAGGCAAGGTGTGGTAATCATGAGGTGCACTACAAGCAAATATAGAGTCGTGTTGTAATTGTCCGTGTAATTCCAAGTTGTAATTTGCTGCCCCTGCTGAGAAAGCACTGACTTCTAGGCCAGTTTCTACCTCTGAGCTCCTCCTGGCAGCGAAGACAGTTGGAAAGTGAAAAGTGAGTGAGCAATTGTTTTCCCAAACTGTAGCCTCAGGGCCCTTTGCCAGGATCCAGACCCGCTGCCCTCCTGCAAGCTCTAAGCTTTCTTCAAAGGCTGACCATCCTAACCAGTCCTCGCCCACTCGCCGAACAGTCCAAGTGGTCGCCACACTTGGTCTTTGGTGGCTCTCACTTCCATCCGAGTCCCCTTCATGGGTCCATCCTGGGGACTCTGACTTCCTCTCCATCTGTCAGTTGTCACGCTACCCTAGATCGCCCCCTTCACTAAACACTCAGTTTCCCTCAATTACTCCCAAAAGTCTTCCTGCTACAAAATTCCCAGATCTAGCGAACGTAAATCCCAGGCTCTTGTCGGAAGTTTAACACCCAAGTTTCCTCTGGGGGTGTGATAGCTCCCCGTCGCACAGAAGACTGGGACACTTAATTAACCAGGACATCCTGCCTTTCCCAAGACATGGCCCAAGACCGTGCGGACCCTCCCTGGAACGAGAGTGACGAACAGAGCTGGAGGTGGCTCATGCTCACTGAAGTGCCCAGGGGAGGAGTGCAGGGACGTTCCTGAAGCCGACGGGCCGTCACGACAGCTCCCTCAAGCGCTCTGGCCAATATGCTATGCCTACAGGTCACTGTGATGGTGACATGAGATCCAAGACGGGACATCACCTGTGAAGTGCTGCCCACATAAAAGAATGTGAATGGATCATACATATACATAAATATCTATACTAATAAAAGGGTAACATGCTAATTAGATTGAACATCTTCCGGACAACCTTCCAGACAAAGCCATGGTGGCGGGGCTGAGGCAGAGGCAGTTAGGGGCGATCAGTCCAGCAGTGGAGAGCAGTTAGGGACAACCAGGCCAGCAGTAGAGGGCAGTTAGGGGCAACCAGGCTGGCAGGGGAGGGCACTTAGGGGCATCAAACAGGCAGGCAGAGTGGTTGGGGCATCAGGCAGGCAGAGTGGTTAGGGGTGATCAAGAAGGCAGGCAGGTGAGTGGTTAGGAGCCAGCAGTCCCGGACTGTGAAGCAGGTGGTCCCAGATTGTGAGAGGGATGTCCGATGGCAATCAGACATCCCCCGAGGGGTCCCGGATTAGAGAGGGTGCAGGCTGGGCTGAGGGACGCCCCCCTGCACAAATTTTGTGCACCAGGCCTCAAATATATATATGTATCCACATCCAGGCAGGTAATACCATAATATATATAGTATGCCAAAATATTTTCAAACACATCCGAGAAGGTTAAAAAATAACCAATACAAAGCATGACCCTTGCCTTACTGAAAAATAAAAAAAGCTAATTATAGTTTTAGGTCCCCCTTCCCTCACCCTGCCCCCCAAACCAAGGTCTGGGCCAGACAAAAATCTCAAGACTCCTCTATAAACAGTAATTACTGTGACGAGGGCCACATTTTCTATCAGGCCTTTCATTGGTGAACCCCAAGTGCACATCTGGCCGACTACACTTATAATTACGCATGCGTTCCCAAAACAGAACCAGAAATATCTGGACCGGAATAAGTGAGCCACGGGTATAATTTTAGGTTCCATGATGAATAAGTCTGTAAAAGCCAAAAGCGTTCCCCTTGGAAGGAGTTCTGGCCTTGCCTCCTGCTGACCATCTGCCCAGCATCCACCACGTCGGTCCCTCCCAGGCCTCCCGGTTAACTCGGTTCACACCGATCGGACATAAAGAGGAAACCTGAACCTGCGGACTCCTCGGCCCAGGAGGGGAGGCATGGACATTTCTGAGGCTCTCCCTGGGGGTCTCTCAGAGGCGAGAGAGGGCTCGGGCAGGAAGTCTTTCTAGATAAGAGGGGGGGGGGGACTTGTTGGGGTCCCGGGGGAATCATCTCAGAGAAAACCAGGAAGGAATGAGAGGGGGAGACAGAGATAGAGAAGGCCCCCCAGCTGTCACCGTGGACAGAAGCACGGGGACCACGCGGCCGAATGGTGAGGTCAGCAGCCACAGCTGGGTGAGACAGGAGGGGGAGGGAGTTTGTGCTTTACTTGAGAGCAGACCATCCAGGATTAGGATTGTGCAGGGAGCGCCCCCTCCCCATTTAAACACTAACTGGATGCAGCCCCTTTCAACTCAGAAGAACCGAAAACACACGTTGGGAATGTATTCTTCCATCTCTCCCTGTTTTTAAATTTTTTAATGTTTTTTATTGAGTTTAGCGAGAAGGGAGAGGGAAAGAGAGAAACATCAACGAGAGACACATTGATCAGGAGCCTCCTGTACCCACCCCGACTGGGCCTCAAACCCACAACCTGGGCCCCGGAGGACACTCCAACCAACTGAGCCACGCCGGCCAGGGCTCTCCCATCTCTTTTTTGCACATGGAAGCGATGGATGAAGCCGGGGTCCCCATAATTGAAACCCATGGGGACTGGGGCCATGGTCTTATTCGTCTGTCCCCCAACACTGCTGTGAGAATACATGTGATACCACAGGAGAACACGAGGGGGGACCTGGGACCACCCCAACAAAACCAACCCCCTCAGGAAAAACACCTTTAACATGACCTCAGATACACAGAGGGAGAGGCAAGAACAAATGAGGGAGGAAGCAGGATGGCTAGCGACAGGTGATTATTTATGAACCTCACGTCGGGGCTTGGCAAGAGGGAGGCAGAAAAGAGATAATTTTTTAAGCTAATTTGTGAAACCGCCTGCTCTTCGGCTGCGACGCCGAGACCTGGGCCGCTGCCAGAGACCTTTGCGCTTCGGCGGGTGCTTGCGTCTCCTCTCTGCTCAGCAGCAATGGTCTTAATCGCATTAGCCCTGTCACTGCAGATCTCTACACCGCGTAACAGATCCGCCGACTTTCAAATAATGCACTTAGAGTCAACACCTGTTTGCGGGGCAGCGCGAGACGCGCTCCGTGGGGCTGACAGTACCTTGAAGGCCACCTGGATGATCTCCTCGGTGTTGGCGGGGTTGCACAGCACAGCCAGGCCGATCACGTACTCCCGGAAGTCGATGCTGCCGTCGTGGTTCTGCGAAGGGACGGGAGACATCAGTGAGCAGGGCCGCCCGCCGCCCTGCTGCTCGGCACAGCCCGCAAGGTGAAGGTCGGGGCTGCCGGCAGCTCAACACCATCGTGAGCTGAGCCGACTGGGAAAAGAGTTTGTGCGGAGGTGGAACAGCAAGCAGGGGGCCCCCCCCCCGCCCCCGCCATTCCTCGTTCACGAGGAAGAAGACGGTATGTCCGTTTAGCAGCAAATACAAACATGTTATCACCAAGGCTCCCTCTGAGGGGCTCCATGGCACCCAGCGTGGTTCTTTTTTTAAAAAAATATATTTTTATTGATTTCAGAGAGGAAGGGAGCGGGGAAGAGAGATAGAAACATCAAGGAGGAGAGAGAATTATTGATCGGCGGTCTCCTGCACGCCCCCTACTGGGGATCAAGCCTGCAACCTGGGCATGTGCCCTGACTGGGAACTGAACTGTGACCTCCTGGTTCATAGGTTGACACTTAACCACTGAGCCACGCCGGCGGGGCCCAGCGTGGTTCTTGAGCTCAGCCTGGCCGGAGCCCCTCTGGAGGCAGGACCCAGGCCTTCCATCCCACGGGGGCTGAAGCACACCCTCCACCAGGGAGGGAGGCCCTGCCACGCTGGCCTGCCCCAGTGGGTCACTAAAGGGTCACTAAGCAACCCTCCACCTGTAGGCAATGGGAGGGGGAGGAAAAGGGCAAATCGAGGCAACAATCACAGCGACGTTCTTTCCCCTTCCCAGCCCGGATCTGCAATAAGCCAGCAGCCAGGGGGCGAACCTGAGCTCCCTCCGTGGCCCCTCAGGGGACCAGGCCCCAGGAGATGCGAGGCTAAGCCTCTGGACACGACACCTAACCTGACACTAGGGTCTACACAGCCCACGAGGTGTTGTTCCATGAGGGCCACGCTGGAGAAGGGGCCGGCCACGCCCACCCGGGCAGACTGAAGGCAGCCTTTCCCTGCACATCAAGGCCTCGCCTAGACAGGAGCTGTGCAAGGACGAAATGGGCAGAGAGAAGAGAAAAGAGAGAGAGAAAGGGGGAGAGAGAGGCAAGGCAGAGAGGGAGGGAGGCGGAGATGGGAGAGAGAACTAGGAAGGAAGGAAGGAAGGAAGGAAGGAAGGAAGGAAGGAAGGAAGGAAGGAAGGAAGGAAGGAAGGAAGGGAGGGAGGGAGGGAAAGAAGGAACGGGAGGAAAAAGGAAAAATGAGATGGGAGAGAGGGAAGGAGCGGGGAGGGAGGAAGTAAGAGAACCTTGAACGCACTATGACTACCATCCCAGGTGTTAGAGTCATTTTGGCAGCAGAATCGTCCAGGGATGAGTTCCCAGATAAACAATGAACTAGTAGCAACGCGGCTAGGGCGGGACTTGATGGACTAACCAATGTTTGACATCAGTGAGAGTGTGAGCTTACATAGAACAGAACCGGCCCTGCAGCAGCCAACAGAGAAAGGCTTGCGTCGTGAAGATACGCTACAGGCACACAGGGGCATCAGTATGCAAAGTCAGTCCGTGCTCAGTTCCTGAGGAGGGTGAGGGAGGAGGTGTCCTGTTTACCCGAATATCCCTTAAGAGTGCATTTCTACTCACGTACCGATTGTAGGACCAATTTTCTAGGAGTCAAATTGTTTTATCCACTTAGCACTACAGATAAACCTTGGAAATCAGTAATTCTAAGAGTGTTTCAAGATCAACAGGTACATCCAAACATATTTCTAAGGCCCCACTATGGACGAGTTGTGCAATCCACTGATGAGATTTCTGACGGAGGCTGCTATAGAAAATCAACGTTTACAAGTAGATGCACCATTACTCACAAAATATTTTGAAAGTGCCCTTTAAAATAATGTACGAATATTGACTGTGTTGGGTACGGAGCACACAGTACTTTTCCTGCCACAAGTCGCAGAATTCAGTGGATTAAATGGAGATGAAGGTGTTTTTCAAAATCATCCGGGGTATTTTGAAATTTAAAAATGTAGAGGTGCAATTTCACATATTTTTTTTTAATCTATGAATGGTATTTCCACCTTACTGTATTAATTGCACTCCTTGATATTAAAAATTTTAAAATGATGGGATGGAGTTACAGGAATCAAAGGCCTTCATCTAAGGCTATAGGTATGCTCCCATGTAGAAATGGCAAAATTAAAAAATATATATATCTATCAGGTAAATACTCCCTCTTACATTGAAAATGTGCCTTTAAAACATCAACTATTGGATGAAAACTAAGAAATCTATTTTTTTTAACTTTTTTTGTTGATTTGAGAGAGAGAGGAAGGGAGCGAAACATCCATCGCACGCCCCCTCCTGGGGATTGAGCGCGCAACCTGGGCATGCGCCCTGACCTTTTGGTGCATGGGACGATGCCCAAGGAACAGAGCCACACCGGCCAGGGCAACACTAAGACACTGAATTACTCGTTCTCTGCCAAAGATCTGGTTACTCGGACAAATCCAGAGTTTGGACGGAATGTTCTAGCATCCACACTAGAGACGGAGGTTATTTGTACAACTTTTAAACCTTCGTTCGTATAAAATGCGTTTGTATAAATATACAAACTTTCCTATTCTCTGAAGAGAGCAGAAAGGAGGAACACGTAGGTGACTTCAAGCTCTGCCCGTGCCGGCAGGAAGGGACTCACAGGAGCAGGGAATCCCTTCCCTTGAGGAGCAAGAGAAAGGATTCCTACCACCCGCAGTGGGAGATCCTTGTCTTAACTGTTAGAAAACATTTAACACGAACTGAGGGGGTTGGGGGGGACCGTGCGGCTACACTGCCCTCTCCACAGCCATCGCACGGAAAGGTTATCATGTTCTGAGCTCCGACAAGGCCGTGTTCCTGCCCCCATGCCTGACGCCTCCGTAAGCTCACCCTGAGACAGAGACCCTGACATCACCATGGCTGCTGGCAGCGGCCTCACACCTGTCCGGCCACACCTGGTCCGAGCAGCACAGCGGACCAGGCTTAACTGGCAGGTCCCCGAGGAACGTGGAAGGGACGCGTGTGCTCGGCCCGGGGCGGAATCACATGCGTGTGGTTTCATACATGTTACGTGACGGAGATGATGCTGAGGGCTGGTCACGGGCCAGTGACATCATTTCCACAGTTACAACTTTCCTCAAAGGGAGTCCAGGGGGGAAGGAAGAATTCACCTTCCAACTCAGGGGGGTCCTCGAAAGGAGGGGCGAGGGAGGAGACGCAGGCGGGGGACCCACTGCAGAGCAGGCGGGTGAACCGAGGCCGAGTCTCCACGCGCGGACTGTGGACTCTGCCCACGCCGCCCTCACCGCCTGACTCGGGATGACAAAGCCCAGCCAGGGGCCACCCCCGAGGAAGGCACGGCGGGGGTGTCCCTGTCTCGGATGCCCGTCTTCCTTCTCCGGACACGGGCAACGCCGACCCCCCTGCTGGGCCTTGGTTTCGGCTGAGACATCTGCAAACTACTGTGTGTGGCAGCCTTCCTTCAGAGCTGTGGCTGTGGCTCTGGCTGCTCGTTAGAATCAAGAGGAAGCTGGGGAGATGCTCATCTCTGAGCCCCACCGCTACAGGTTCTTAGTGAACCCACTGGAGGGGGACTCGGGTACCAGCCCTCCTCAGGAGCTGCCCTGTGAATGCCCATTTCAGCCAGGGTCTGGGAACCTGCACGGAGGAGCCGCGGCACTGATATATAGATTTACAGAAATATATACATCTCTGTATGGCTCTATATATCATAGAACTGATTATGGTTTATGTAAGTTTTCCTTTCTTTTTTTTTTTCTTTCGTTGCTTGCTTTTTTTCCCTGCCTGGTTTCCAGAGAGGAACAACAACAACAACAATAATATTCCTTGTTCCAGGGCAGGGCAAGACATGACAAGCGCTGCTGGCAGCTGGGCACGCCTGAGCTCGGATGAAGGCCACGCCAGAGGGATCCTGCTGGTCCTTACGGCCGCCAGAGACATTCTGGCTGCGGGTCCGCCCTTCCACCCGCCACGCCCCAGACCCGCTTTACAGATGTAACGAAACCCAACCAAATTGCTACATGCTTTTTCCACCGCGAAAGAATTCTAGAACTTGAGACAGTCGCTCCACCATAAAAAAAAGACAAAAAAAAAAAAAGACTACTACCCTTCTATAAAACGGCCTCATTCCCCAGTCCTGAACCCATTTCTGTAGCTCAACAGGTTTCAAGGAAAGCATTTTCCAATTTATTTACACCATGGAAATGCCAGATGTAACATTAAGAGGAAACACAGATTTTGAACATCCCTCCTCCTCACCTTTTTAGAGCGGGGGGGAAAAAAAAAAATTCCCCAAGGGTTTTTTTTGATTGATTCCAAATGTTTTTCAAAATTTAATTCTCACCAACAACAAACCTCTTGCTCCTTGGAATGCATTCACTCTGTGAGCAAGAACCTATCTAAACCCATTGCCTTACAACCCCACCCTGTACCCCCATCACATCTGTGAGTCCGTACAGATCCGGTATCTCCCAAAGCCGACACACAAACCACTCCCAAGCCCGCTCGTGGCAAATCTGTTTTAATTAAGCAGTAAGAAGCAGCGCGCGTCCAGGAGATGACAGCTGGGGGCCGGGGCGTCCGCAGCCATGCAGTCAGCACGGGGTGGGGTGTGGGGGGTAGGGGGGTGCTTTCGGCAGGCAGTCCTGTCCTCCAGGGGCGGGGGGGTGCTGCCGGCCTCAGGAATACATGGTCAGCTGCAGCCACTCCTGGATGGACACCTGGATCCGGCCGCCCCCATCTCTATCCAGGGACTTGAAGGCCCGGAACATGGCATCCAGGCGGACCAGGCAGCTGATGAAGCCGTTGAAGTCCATGCTGCCGTCCTCGTCGTCGGCGTAGCGCCGGACGATCATGTGGTACAGCTGATCGTTGAGCTGGAAGCCGGCGGCCTGCAGCGCGGCCCGCAGCTGGGAGCTGCTCAGGGCCCCGGCGCGGGCCTGGTCGAACTGCCTGAACACGCACTGCCACTTCTTCAGGTTGGTCCACAGGTACTTGAACTCCTGGAAGCCCAGCTTCCCGTTGGTGTCGTTGTCCATGACGGACACGATGCTGCGGCAGGTGTCCAGGCTGAAGCCCTCGGTCTTCAGGTCCTTGTGCTTGGAGAGGACTTTGTTGAGGATGTGCATGAGGTCGGTGGCCCCCACCTCCATGTCCGGGCCCGCCAGCTGCGCAAACTGTTGCCGAAACCGCCTGACCTCCTCGCTCTCGTGGGCCTCCACGTTGGTGAAATGCTCCTGGGTGGGCGGTGGCTCCGGGGTGTAATGAGCTGCTGCAGCCTCGCTGATGAGATTCACCAGTCCGCCAACGATCCCGCCAACATTGCCCCGTCCTCCTCCTCCTCCGCCTCGTCTCTGACCTCCTCCTCCAAGAAGGCCTCCCAGGGCTTCCCCGAGGCCACGATCTGCCCCTTCCAAAAACGCCTTGGCGAGAAACATGCTTCCCGTTGAACGAGAGGGATGAAGAGAGCCGAAACGGAGCCTGCCGAGCTCCCGGGCGGAAGAACTGGCTTTTCTGTCCCTGCCTCCGCTGCACCACGCCCCGCGGCCCACATGCGGCCCACATGCCATGGCTCACCTCCCACTGAAGTTGCCTGAATTCCACTAGGTCCTAGCACCTGCCATTTTTAGGGAGCTCTTCTGATAAATATTCCTCATCTATAATAATAAAAGCATAATGTGCTAATTAGACCGGACGTCCTTCCAGACGAAGCCAGGGCTGCGAGGGAAGCCCGGGTCCTGGGTGCCAGAGGGAAGCCGGTGCCGGCAGCAGGGGGAAGGAAAGCCTACTCTTGCATGAATTTCGTGCATCAGGCCTCTAGTGTGTCTAAGAAATACTCATAAGTGCTTGTGCGGGGGGCACATTCGAAGCAATGACGTCTGTAAATGATCCGTGTGCCAGCGATCTCGGTGCTCTCTCAGCACGCGCTTTCCTGACGGAAGGTCAGTGACTCAAGGAAAGCGAGACGCTCTTTGCTAGGGGATATTTACGTGCAGGGTAGAACGGAAAAATTATGTACCTGATCCCCTTCCTTTGGCAAAGATTTCCAAAATCCAGTGTTCTTAAGAAAAATGTGGAAGGGGGCTTTTTAAAATGCAGAGATTCTGCCCGGCTGGTGTGGCTCAGTGATTGAGCATCGACCTATGAACCAGGAGATCAGGGTTCAATTCCCGTTCAGGGCACATGCCCAGGTTATGGACACGGTCCCCAGTAGGGGGCATGCAGGAGGCATCTGATCAATGATTCTCTCTCATCATTGACATTTCTCTCACTCTCCTTCTCCCTTCCTCTCTGAAGTCAATAAAAATATATTTTTTAAAAAAATAATAAAAATAATAATTAAGAAAATGCAGAGATTCTGATTCTGTAGCCAGAGATCATGAGCTATATATTTGGAATCTCTTTTGAAATGTGACACTCACACAGAAAAACGTACAAACCACTAAGGTATAGCTCAACACTTCACAGACGGCACACCCCCATGTCAAGGAAGAGAGTATCAGCAGCACCCCCAAAGTCTCTTCGTGCCTCTTTCCTAAGATACTCTCTTCTCTCAAGGGGAGCCACTACCCCGACATCTAACACCACACATTCCTTTTTCTACCTGCAATCCATGGAATCAGGCAATACGTACTTTTTGATATGATGTTTTTAAATTTTTAAAATATATATATATTTGCTTTTATTGATTTTAGTGAGGGGGGAAGGGAGATGGAGAGAGAGAGAGAAACCATTATGGGTACCCCAAAGGGGAGCAGTGAATTCTGCTGAGGAAAGGAAAGGCAGCATTTACCTGCAGAAGAGGAGAATATACAGGCATCCCCATCGCTTGGGTCAGCGTTCTCCAAACAGACATGGGATGAGAAGGGATGGTAGAGTAAGAATTGGACTGGGAAGGGGGTTGAATGCCATGCGTCAGCCCATCTCATAGGTTACTGTGGGGACCACGGACAGCTCAAATATGAAGTAAAAAAAAAAAAAGCAAGAAAGACTAGATAGAAAATGAATTGTAAACTGTATGGTCCTAGTATTGACTGATGGCTATTCTAATACTAGAGGCCCAGCGCACGAAGTCACGCGTGAGTAGCTCGCCGCTGCTTGCAGCTGCTCGTCACTTGAGCCACCACCCTGCCCACTGCCGCTTGTCGCTCGCCGCCCTGCCTGCCACTGCTCGTAGCTCGCCACCCACCTGCCGCTCGCCGCCCCACCCATGGTGGGCGTTGGGGTGGGGAGGGACCGAGAGGTGGTCAGTGCACCTCATGGCTACTGGTCGAGCGGTCGTTCTGGTTGTTCCGCTTACGGTCCCTGGCCTTTTATTATACAGGATTATCAGGGAGAGACTGGTGGCTAAGGAACATGCTCTGTTGAGGACATGAAAGCGATGCCTCCACCTGCCACACCCAGTGGTTTGTGTAACATTTTCCGACACAAGTTTTATGGCATAATGACTCCAATAACTGGTCTCATGGGTACGATAAAGGCCAAATGTCTTCCTTAACCACAAAGCAGCGGCACCATAAAGGGACTGTCTTCCTTTTGGGGGACCCCAAGGGATTATTTGGCCTCAGACAGATTTAAACCCGTTTGTATATGCTTCTCTCCGAGGAAACTGGATGGCTTTGTCTTTATAGTGCTGGAAATTAGCTTGATGGCACTCATGGCCACATAAAATGCGCCTCCTATGCCCGTCTGAAGTGTTTCCACCCGGTTTCAATCCAGTTCCTCTCGTTTGTTTTCTGTGAAGATGGAGGGCATTTGGCTAACGGTTTCTCATAAGCCATCCCAGGGTAAATGCTGTTATTAGAGCAACGAGCCTTCTCTTTCCTGGACTCTTTAATGCCCTGAGGCTGTTCATTAGAACACGAGTAGCAACTCTGGTCACTGTCTGGGCACCTCTACTGCCTACATCTGGAGAAACAACCTCAATTTGAGGAGGAAGAGCTATTGAACGTAAAAAAGTGAACAGTGACACGTGAGTGCCAACAGCAACATGATTCAGAATCATCCCAAAGTGGAAACAACCCAACTGCCCCCCAGCTGGTGAGCGGATAAACAGAACGTGATCTATCCGTAGAGTGGAGCCCTATTTGGCGGTACGAAGGAATGAATTACTTCCTTGACATGGATGAGCCTTAAAAACATGCTAAGTGAAAGCAGCCAGACACGAGACCATATAGTGTAGGATTCCATTAATGTGAAATGTCTAGAAAAGGCAAATCGACAGAGACAGGTCCCCATTCTAGAGCGGGTCTAGAATGACACAGAAGGACAAGGTCTCCATTCTAGAGCGGGTCTAGAATAACACAGAAGAACAACTTTTTTGGGGGGGGGTGGGGAGGGAGGTAGGTGACAGGAATTACAAGTTAAAGACACAAAAGAATCATATTGGGGTGATGGCAATATTCTAAAACTGTTTTATGGGGATGGTTGCACAACTTGGTAAATTTACCAAAAATAACGATTGAAATGTATGTTTAAAATGGGTAAATTATACGATATGTAAAATATGCCTCAAGAAAGTTATTTTTCAAAAAGGCAACAGGACAGTGTGTCGTAGGAAGAAGACTCAGAGTTCTCGTCCTGGACCTGCCGTGAACTAGCTGGGCAGCCTTGAGTCTGTAACTTCCTGCCTAGGGCTGGCCGCCTCCTGCAAAATGAGGAAGATGGGCCATCTGATACCAAAGGCCCTTTAGCTCTAAAATCCTAGAAGCTAGACTTTCATGTGCCACGACATCGTGTCAGCAGCAGCATTCTCACCTGGCAGACAGTTCCTTCTGGCGCCCAAGTCTTTCTATGCTATATATTCATTTAACTCAACCTTTCTTTATCGTGGGTCTGCCTCCATAACATTTATTATTTTTTTAATATGTTTTTATTGATTTCAGAGAGGAAGGGAGAGGGAGAGAGAGACAGAAACATCAATGACGAGAGAGAATAGTCGATCGGCTGCCTCCTGCACGCCCTCTACTGGGGATCGAGCCAGCAACCCAGGCATATGCCCCGAATGGGAATAGAATTGTGACCTCTTGGTTCATAGGTCGACGTTCAACCCCTGAGCCACGCCGGCTGGGCTGGCTCCACAACACTTAAAGACATGATTACTTACCCTTACCCCCTCTCTGACATATTGTCTGGTTTTCAAAAGTATTTCTGATTGCAACCTATCAAGTATTTGCACCTCCGCACGGAATTCCAAGGTGGGGGCAGTGAGCCGGGTCTGGGATAACACAGGACACGGGACTCCCCCTCTGAGAGGAGCCTTTCTTGCAGGTGGGGTTCTCACCTAACTCCACACGGTCAGGACCAGACCTTCCTAGTTTACAGATGAGATTGTCATGTTGGATGAACTCCAAAGTCTTTCTGGATCCATAGAGATAATCCCCATTCCTTTTTCTTTACCATCTTAGCCTCAGTCACAGGAGGAAATGAAATTGGTCTGATGTGTGCGCTTTACAGAGCCCCGACCTCCACTTCCCCGGGCTCCTGGAGGCGGCCAGTGATTGCCCACTTCCTCCCCTTACAAAGCGAAGCTTTAGGGCTGCAGTCTCCTTTCCGTTCCCTTCACACATCTCCTGGGTGTCCTTGCACGAAGGAGCCAAAGACAAAGCAGATAAGTCTCATGCTCATGTGGATCATCTCTCGGGTCACAACACACAGTGAGAGAAAATACCAGGATGGACTCCATGCGGGAGCCAAGTTGACCCGAGAATTGAAGAGGGAAATGGCCAGACAATAGGACCACCAAACTTTCAGGACAACTCGTACGACTGAACTGAAAAGGTCATCTATCCCACTCAGAACGTCACAGCCTTCCTCTGTGCATTAGACCGTATACGCTATAGAGCAGATTCCATAGATCAAACCCCGATGGACTGAGGTTGGCATGTAGATGAGTTCTTTTCCCATGAGCTAGGGAATACGATAGTCCTATCAAACCTGAACTGGAAATGCAAAGGCTAGAAGACACCACTGTTGGTTGCAACAATTCACCTGTGCCATTGCAACAATTCACATAGGGAATGCATGGGTGAATGGGCATGGTGGTGTCCCAATAAAACTTTATTGACAAAGCAGGAGTTAGACTGTATTTGCTCCATCAGCTGTGGTGTGCCGGCCCCTGTTAAGCTGGTGAAAACAAAGCTTGCGGGTAAGGCGTACAGACTGGGTTGGAGGCTCGCAGTCAGGGCTTATGATAACCATTCTTACGGTGTAGGATACTCCCCATCTGATTGGAAGGGGTTCGCTCTGAACCCTTATTCTTGACAATCTGTCTGCCTCTTGTTTGATATCTTCCTGCAGCTCTAACTCGTGGAATATGGTCCATCTTTTCTGATTCCTAAGCTACAGAATGGCAGGAGCGCACACGCTTTCCCCCGGTACCTTCTGCTCACACAGACCACAGCCGAATACATGTAGGTGGCTCCTTTCCCCACGCTGCACGAAATTCGAAAACTGCCATGCTTTTTCCCATTTCTGCCTTCGGCCTGGCACTCGCTTCTCTGGCACAACCACGTACTCCGTCTACATATGAGGCAGGAAGAGTGCCCGGCAGCACTCGGACAATCCAGCATTTGTGGCCACTGCAAACTCCTGTAGATCTTGGATCACGGCTTCCCATTATGTGGAATGCATGCCTTTCTTTACCCCGAGCTCTTCCCGTCTGCCCTGTTCTTGGTCCTAGTTCAAGTGTGAAGTCATGGGTGCCAGTGGATAACAAGCATCCTTGCTTGTCCATTCCTGCTAGAGAAGGCAGGGGCTGTGTGATATGCAGATGTGCTGCTCATGCTGAGAGTCGGGACAGGCATTGACATGGCTTACATGGTTGGAAATAAACAGAGAAATCGGTCTGAGTGGCAAGCTGAATGCCTAGTCAACTGTGCGAGTTGTTCTGAAAGTTTAGGACCATATATCCTATAACATCAAAAAGTATTTACTGCCCTAGCTGGCTTGGCTCAGTGGATAGAGCGTCAGCCTGCAGACTGAAGGGTCCCAGGTTCGATTCCCGGTCAGGGCAGATGCTGGGGTTTCGGGCTCCATCCCCAGTGGGGGGCGAGCAGGAGGTAGATGATCAGTGATTCTCTCTCATCATGAATGTTTCTCTCTCTCTTTCCCTTCCTCTCTGAAATCAATAAAAATATATATATTTTTAAAAGTATTTACTACCTGGCTCTTAAAGTTGCCAGCCCCTGAAATACAGCTTTGTCACCAGGGAGGATACGCACTGCGATGGTGATGAGCATCGGCTGGGACACTGAGCAGGGTGCAGCATGAGGTGTAGCGTAGAGGAGACAGGACGGGGCAGGTTTAAGCCTGCGGGTAAGGCTACTTGCAAGAGGTCAGAGGCAGACTGTCCAGCTAGCAACAGAGATGCGCTGCCTACGGAAACACCTGAGGACTGTCTCGCAGGTAAACGCGACAGTGTCCGCAGGCACCACACCGCTTCCTCAGTAACTGTGACAGAGGAGGACAAAGTGAGCGATGACGCTGTGATGGGCATCGCAGGACACTGTTATCGCCATAAAAATGACTCCCATACACTGAGATATGAATACAAGAAGTGTTGAGAAGACGCTGCGTTAAACGATAGTTTCGGCCCTCAACTCTAATCCCCTGGACATTTGACGGATCCCACATTATCTTCGGAACCCAGGGAGTTCAGGATACATTTATGAAGATAAAGAAGCTAAACTAAACCTAAGGATGAAAAGGGTCTTTTCTCAAAGACATGGGACCCTCCGAAGGGGAGGAGCCCAAAGCCGTGACGAGGCCGTGCCTTGGGTCATGAACACCATCTTTCTCTGGGAACCCCCACTGCCATCAAATACCTGAGTGTCTCGAAGAACAGGGCAGGATGTCAAAAGGAGCTCAACGCACAGCATATTTTTTTTAGGACAAATGGAGACAAAGGCTAGTATGATGTTTTTGTAGGCTAGCCAAGAATGTAAGGGGATATGGAGGGATATTCAGATCTGTCCTCCATTCCCAAAACACCAACCCCACTACATGAGACTTGGGAAAAGATTAAGAGAGGAGCCCTGACCGGTTTGGTTCAGTGGTTAGAGCATCGGCCTGTGGACCAAAGGGTCTCTCAGGTTCGATTCCTGGTCAAGGGCATGTACCTTGATTGCAGGTTCAACCCCCCACCCCCTACCCCCAGTTGGGGCATGAGTGGAGAGGCAACCGGTTGATATGTCTCTAACACATCGATGTTTCTCTCTCTCCCCCACTCCCCATCCTTTCCACACTCTCTGAAAATCAATGGAAAAAATATTCTCACTCTTTGGGTGAGGATTAAAAAAATAATAATTAAAAAAAAAGATTAATTAAGGGAGGAAAATAAGGGGAAATGGAGGATAAAGTGGGAAAGAACACGGGAGGGGCTTACGGGAGCCGCTGCACACAGTTAGGCTATCAGGAGAGCAACAGGAACACCCCACCCTTTCTCTTTCCTGCCCTTCCTCCCCCTCGCCCCACCCCTCATTAAGCATTGAGTTTAGCAAGATAAGCCACTGGGAGAGAAACAAACTAGGAAGCCCCTGGACTTCCTTGCCGTTCCCATCGAACGGCCCCCAGCGAAATCGCTTGCAGAGCCTGAGAAAACAAGCCTGGCGTGGCCGTGGATGTGGGGACAGGGCGGGGCGGCGATGACACGGCTCAGCTTCTCAACACAGAGAGACTCTGCACAGGCTCAGAGGTGCGGGCATGTCACAAACAAAAAATGGAGGGAGACGGACAGACAGAGACAGAGGGGAAAAGGGAAAGAAAGGAGGAAAGAAAAGGCGGTCAGACGCATTAGCTAGTCACTCCCCGGCTTATTTCCTCTACCTTCCAGTGCATTGGACATCAAAGGACAAGTGCTGTACAGACCGGGTCTGTATCTAAAGTCAAGTCACACCATGCAAAGAAGTGAAGAAAAAAGTCACCGTTATAACTGATATGGGAGCCAACTGACACAGAAGTGTGAGCGACCACTTTGCCTCTCAGGTCTCACCGTCTCCTAACTCCCAGGGCCGCCTGGATCCTCAAGGTCAGAGGGAGTCAACCTTGCCAACTAGGGATTACTTTAATCCTCAGCTCACCCTCCCTTCCCTCTGCCAAATCTGCCCATACGTGGCAGTGCTACAGCGACAGTGGGGCTGGTGGCAGGTGTCATCCGTCATCCAAAGACAGAACTGCTGTCCCAGCAACCCGTCACCGCCAGTGATGACAGTATGACGCCCGAAAGACATGATTTTTAATTTTCATGAGAAATCCCGGTGAGCACAAAGTCTACACTTTCCTTTCGGTTCCCGTTTCATGTCACTTCCCACTCCCCCACCTCCTGTCCTGACTGGTACGTCCCTGCCATCTTCCTTCCTGTCCTATTTATAGAAACGTTACTTAAAAGTACATGCATGGTTTCTAGAGCCATTCTATATAAATCTCTCAGGACTGGTCATAGTGTGAGTGTAAAGTTCCTGTTTTTCCAGCCTGCACAGTGAGAGCCAATTGTTTTCTTCTCCTTTCCCCTAAACCTTTTTTTTAAAATATATATACATATTTTTCTTGATTTCAGAGAGGATGGGAGAGGGAGAGAGAGATAGAAACATCAATGATGAGAGAGAATCATGGATCGGCTGCCTCCTGCACGCCCCATGCTGGGGGATCGAGCCCACAACCCAGGCGTGTGCCGACTGGGAATGGAACCGTGACCTCCTGGTTTATAGGTCGACGCGCAACCACTGAGCCACACTGCCTGGTCCTTTCCCCTAAATCTCCATCACACCGTAGAGCCGTGGCGGAGTAGTTCTATTATAAAATGTAATGAAGACTGGGCATTTCACGGACAAGGAAAGATTACTTGTGTGATGCAAGCAAGCCCAGAAGAGAGGCCCCGGGCACGGCCTATAGAAGAAGGTAGCCTAACCTCATGATATTAAAGAACAGTTCATCTATGACATCACAGAGTACAGTCATGAGGAAGCTTAGGGGGCCTGGGAAAAAAGACTAAAATCCCTGTCCTGGTTTCTGCCATCCGGCGATCATTTCTTTGCAAAATACCTTTTTCCCCCGTGGTTACTAGAGAACTGGGACTTCTGGTGCCAGGCAAGATGGAATGAGCCCGGGTAAGTCTATCTCGCCTTCTGATTAAAACTAGAAACTCTGGTCAGAATGCAAAAGGCAACGGCCTCTGGGCAAAATGCCACAGCAGGAGGCTTGGTGAGGAAAGTCAAAACGTGAGGAACAACCAGTTAGGCAGTGCAATCATGGACATTGCTAATGAGTCGTTGAAAGGAAAGAACTATCAGCTCAGCATTCTTTACGCAACAAAAATACTCTTCAGGGATGAATGCAAAATGAAGTCCTTCTCAGACAAGAGACAATAAAGAGATCACAATCCTTAGTATTTACCCAAATGAAAGGAAAACCTACATTTGCACAAAAACGTATGCCTGAATGCTTAGAGCAGTGGTATTCGCAACTGCCCCAAATTAGAAACAAACCAAATATTCCTCCTCTGAGAAATGGGTAAACCAAGCCTGGTACGTCCATAGTCCATACAACCATAGTCCACACAATGAAAGGAAACAGATTGTTGATACATACAACAACCTCGCTGAATCTCAAACGCATTAGGCTAAGTGAGAGAAGCCAGAATCGAAAGGGTAGATTCTGTTGTCAGGGGTTAAAGGTCAGGACAGGGCTTGGCTACAAAAGAAAAGCTACAAGGTAATATTTTTGTTAACTGTTGTGTATCTTGAACGTGCTGGTATTACATGCCTCTATGCATTTGTTAGAACTCATACAACCTTAACCCAAAGAGTGAATTTTATGTACTAAAGACAAATTAAAAAATAGAGAACTTGATACACTTTTCTAAGGAAACTTTTTGACAATTCAAGTGTCTAACTTCATGTACTTACATATTCATAAGCAGAAAACCGTGTCCCCAATATTATGGCAAATGGCCAAGCATCCATTGAAACCTTTGTTATAAAATGTTATTTTAGAAAATAAAATCAATTTGATTTTCACATATTTGGGGTGGCGGGGGGGAATCCAGAAACTTTCAGAATACAATAGCACCATCAGGTCATCGATGTATGAGTTTTGATAAGAGATTTTAAAATTCTTGCCAGTTACATAACCCTTCCCAATTCTATATGACAAACATGATGATAGGATCATGATATTTATACCTGGCCTGGTGTTTCAAATACAGACACTATCACCACTGTTACAAAACACATGCACATGCATTGTTATTATTAGGATTTAGAAAACAAAACCATGCAATTAAACCTCGGGCTCAGCCCTGCTGGGTCTAACCCCGACCTAACAAGTTTTTCTTGCCTGAGCTACTGATGCATGCTCTCCGGGAGCATGGCACGTCTGCATGTCAGAGACTGCGTTTCCACATACCCTGTCAAAGAGCGCGAACAGCTGTCTCAGCACGTCGGAAACAGGCAGCTTCAAATACTCCGCAAACTCTTCGATTCCAATTCTTCCCCCTTTGGACGAGCTCGCAATAGTCGCATATTCATCCAAGTGCTTGCGGATGCCATCCCAATCCAGTCTGGAGGGAGAATTAGGAATACATGGATGCATGTCAGCACAGCCCATGGACACGGACAGTAGCGGGGTGAGGGCATGTGCTGGGGGGTGGGAATGGCCGGGGAGAGGTCAATGGGGGCAAAAGGAGACGTATGTAATACTTTAAACAATAAAGAATTTAAAATAAAATGAAGAAAGAAGCTAGTGAGATAATCCACAATAAAATAAAATAAAATAAAATAAAATAAATAAAATAAAATATAAAATAAAATAAAATAAAATAAATAAATAAAATAAAATAAAATAGAATAAAATAATAAAATAAACATGGTATCAGCCCTTCCCAACCCACATGAGATTTTTATGAACAGTGGCGAGTCACTTGTCTAAGGAAAACACTGTAAGTGTTAAACTGAAACAGGAGAATAAAATGTGTGTTTAAAAGTACAAACTGAACATGTGTCCAGGCTTCTAATTCTTTTAAAGGATGTTAGTGTGACTGTAATTTCCCCCAAATATCTAAGGGGAAGGAAAGTAACCGAGAAGAGCAGTGTGGTAGAATAATACACGACTCATGAGGAGAAAATAAGAAATCACACTTAAATCTAAACATGACTCAGTAAGTCAGCAGAACTGCCCGAGTGGTTAAAAAATACAGCTTTTTCTTTCAAGGAGCTTCTGGCTGAAAAAAATCACATTTCACAAAATGTTGGGCTACGGAGATTCATTAGACCAGACCCACTTCCTCCAAACTTAGTTATGAAAAATAATAACTAGGGTGATAGACACTGGAAAATACACTGTAACTTACATCATGTCCTTTCTTCTTTTATTAAATGTATTTGGGTGACCTTGGTTAATAAGGTTATATAAGGTTCAAGTGTACATTTCTATAATATATCATATATATAGATTCATACACACACAGACACACACATATATATATCTAGTATTGTGTGCTCACCACCCAAAGTTTAGTTTCTTATATACTGGATCCATCACATCCTTTATCTGATAAACAGTTGACTGAACACATACTTTGTCTGTACCCGATTTCAGTGACTATCTAAATTTATCAAATTGTGAATGTAACATCAAAACATTTGGTTGGCTAAAAAACATAGATAGTATTTGCTCTACCAGTTATCAAAATATGATTTCTTAAACACTGAAGATACTGTATTTTCAATACAGTAACAGGCTCTGCAGCTCCCTCCCAGGGAGGTTGCCAAGCTCCATGACATCCGTACATTCTGCGAGTCCCCAATGGGGCTAAAAGCGGAATGAACTGAATACCAGAAGACGGGGGGCAGGAGGGCTACACCTTTCGTACCACATCATCCAAAAGGAATGTTTTTAAATGGTTCAAACTGGATCATACAAGCAGGAAGGGGTGTTTTTACCTTTTTAGAAAAAATGACATACCCAGAAGAAAAAGATAGATCTTGGGGGTATTTAGACATTTTAGTGATGGTCAGAATGCTACTCTATGAGTCAATTCTTATTTTGAAAGAGAAATTCTGGCCACTCCAGGCCTGTATCATCTACTTATGCTGTCCTCTTGGTACAAAGGTAACAGGATGGACTAAACACTCAACCGCTCAGCCCTTTCTGAGGTGGGAGGCAGAGCTATCCACAGCCACACTATCGCCTGGTCTCCTGTGACCAGCACATATAGTTTTGAGGTAACTGTTCTTGAAAAAAAGAAAACTGGATGAACTAAAGGGGAGCCCGGCTGGCATGGTTCAGTGGATAAACATCGACCTATGAACCAAAAGGTCATGGTTTGATTCCCATTCAGGGCAAGTGCCAGGTTGTGGGCTCCATCCCCAGTGTGGGGCGTGCAGCAGGCAGCCGATCCATGATTCTCTCTCATCATTGATGTTTCTCTTTCTTTCTCCCTCTGATTTCCTCTTTCTGAAACATTGTGTATATATATATATACACATATAACTAAAGGGGAGATAAATGCATAAGCTTGGCTTCCCTAATATACACCAGAGCGAGTCCTGGCTGGTTGGTTGGTTAAGTGTCGTCCCGTGCACCGAAAGCCCTCCAGTTCGACTCCCGGTCAGGGCACATACCCAGGTTGCGGGCTCGATCCGGAGTGGGGGGCATGCAGGAGGCAGCTGATCGATGTTTCTCTCCCTCTCTCTCTCTCTCTCAAACCAATAAAACATACTAAAAACAAAAAAAGACAAACACCAGAGTTGATCATTCATAAAACCAGAGAAAATAAACACACAGGAACTCAGATCTCTTTTGGACACTGTTATGAAGACGTAGTCATTTTAAAATAGGCTTACTTCAATTTCCGGCTGATCTTGGTAAATTCCACCAGCCCGGCTTCCATAGGCAGGGTGAGCTGCCCGGCCGAGATCATCAGCCTGCAGTCTTCATAGGTGTGATCGGTTACGGGGATTTCCAGAGCTCTGAAAGCGTTCAAAGGCAGAGGGACAGGCAGTGTTTTCAAACAGGTAACGACCTTCCATTAGGCCTGAATGGGTCAACCAACAGCAGTGAATGGGAAAGTAACCCCCACGTTTTAAACAGTAGCTTTGGCTTTTTACTGCCAAAGAGGCAAGTTTCTCTACTTGTTCAGATTTACTATGGCCCCGAGGTCGAGGTCGGTAATCTTACGTCTGCATGGAAAGTGGTTATTTTGTGGAAAGCACATGATTTGACTTAAAATAAATTGGGGGGATGAGGACGTTAGGAAGAAAACACCCAAATCCTTAAAACCATGTTAAATGTCATTTACCAATTCTGTTCAAACTATCTACTGATTATAATCACACATAGAGACTCACTCTGCCATCAAATTCCGGACTCTACCAGCAAATAGGACAGGGTCTCTTTTTTCTTCGTCATTCGGTGCTTGAACAGGCATAAACTGAAAGATAAACACACCTTTTTATAACAACTGGCAGGGCTCCGACATCAAATGCCAATGATATCCTACATAATAAAAGCCTAATATGCAAATTGACCCAACAGCAGAACGACTGGTCACTATGATGCGCACTGACCATCGGGGGCAGATGCTCAACGCAGGAGCTGTCCCCAGCCTGCAGGTCCCAGGCCAGCCAAGGCGAGTGCCAGTAGGGACCCCCCGATCGCCCTGCAGGTCGCCCTGCAGAGGGAGGCAACCAGCGGCGGTAGCAAGGGGCGGAGCCGGGAGCAGGCAGCACCAGGTGGGCCAAGGTGGGTGCCAGCGGGGGTCCCCCAGTCACCCCACCGGTCGCCCCACAGATCGGCCCTGATCGCCAGCCAGGCCTAGAGATTCTACCTGTGCACGAATTTCGTGCACCAGGCCTCTAGTTAATGTATAAATTACCTATCATCCTATGAACCCTGCCTTTCGAGCGTATCAGTAACATGACATGGTGGCAGGAACCCAGAGCTTAGATCAGGAGCTCTGGGTCTCCCTGTGTATTAACCAGCACCTCCTTTACCTTTTCTGAACGGTCCCCTCGATTCTATAAGGCAGGCTCTGATCGCCTACTTCCCTGGCCGCGGTGAGGATGAAATGAGCCCGTGTCTGGAATTCTGGGAGATGGAGAGCTGCAGCTACTAAGGTCTTCTCAGACCCGAAATTTCTACCAGTCCCTCCCCTTTGTGTGAGAAGGTTGATGATGATGATGATGATTTTGTCTTTTATGGTTTATCTTCTCCATCCATTCCTCTATGGGCCATATTTTCATCAATGGATGGAACTTCATGTTTTGTCATTTCATCTGCTTTTTTAAAATCCTTACTATTGGCTTTCTAGCATTTCCTTAACACCCTGTTTTGCTTTATGGCCATTTAAATGTACCTTTTTCTATTCCTGAATTCTGTAATGCCTCATTGGTACTGTCCTTGTTTTTATGAATCGTGTTCTAATGTCAGCAAGGTTTTGGTGCCGTACTTACATCACAACATATATTTTGAGCACCTACTACACATCAGGCAAGATCAACAGGATCCTATTCAAGTTCTACAGAAAACAGAAATTTTTATAGGCTAGGCCGACACAGCGTATGCTCAGTGTCACGACCCTGACCCCCAATTACAGATAGTGCTGAAAAGCTTCACTAACTTATTGAAAGTAAAACAGGTCGCATGGCCAGGACCCAGCCCAAGGTCGGTCCGATTCTAAGACCCTTGTTTTCCCCACGAAACCATTTTTCCTAAAGGAGGGTGAGCGGTTGGAAATGAGGAATTTGGCCAGGAGTGGGCAGGGAAAAGCTGCCACACGGCTTCACAGAGAGCTGATTGGTAGTCGACCTCGGCTTTTAAATGATAAACATGAGTTCACCAAAAGAATTATACCTATGAACCAGGTACCGTGCTAGGTGCTTTACATGCATTATTTCATGTCACTGAGCCTCCCAATTTCAGTCATAAGGAACTGGGACCCACAAAGATCAAATGACCGGCCCAAGGTTCCATGGCTCACTTCCATTCAGTAAATATCACTTAGGCCTCTACCGCGTGCCAGGCCGCGCATTGAGCCCTGAAGACGTGGCAAGGAGGTCCCTGCCCTCCGGAGCTCTCCATGTCCCAGGGTAGAAATTTATGACAATAAGCTAAGCCCATCCATTAAGCACCTACTATGTGCTGAGAACTTTCTATTAGAGTCTTTAGACCATGAACTCTCTTAACAATTCCTTGAGGCATGTTCCACCATTTCCATCGGATAGAAGAATGTGGCTAGAAGAGGTTAAACAATAGAGCTAACTTTTTGACTCAAGAGCCACAATTGGGAATAAAAAGGAAGGTTTGTGTAACAAACACCTCTTCTGGACTCACGAAGATGTGTTTTCACATCTTGTGAGTCATGACAAGAAGCCTGTGGGCAATGGGGACTCGGAGAGGGAGTTTGAGCAAGGGAGTGGCATGAGCAGGTCCGAGTGTCTGAGCAGTGCCTTTGGTGGAAGGGAATGGATACGCCAAAGAGGAAGAAGCTAAGAGCAGGGGGAACCCTAGGCATCAACCTGCAAGAGGTGGTGAGACCATGAACAGAGGGAGTGGGGTGCAGAGGACAGCTTGGGCGCAAGGGAAATTTCTCAGCTAAAGTGGATAGGAATGACAAGATAACCTGCTATATGTCATTTCACTTTGCTCGTTCATTCTATTAACATCATCTCCTGTGAAGTGAAAAGTTTGACTACATGATCTCCAGCATTCTTTCCAACTGGACTCCTGTGTCTAGCTTCCTGTTTCATATCGTTATTCCTTAAGATGGAAAAATAAACTGAGCCACCAGAGGTCCCCACATCACTTATATATCCAGAGCACCAAAGTCTGCAAATAAGTATTTCTAAAAACTCCCTTCAGCCTGCTCTGGTAAAAATCTCTATTTGCTTAGAATGCAATCCAAGGAAGAAAACAGTGCTTCAAAATCAATGTTCATAAAACCTCTAACAAAATAGTATAATTTCAAGTTTTATATTGCCCTATGGTTCTTGGTTTTGTGTTGTTGTTTCTTTTAAGCCAAAGGATCACTGGCATAGAATATACTTGGTTTGTAGCATATACAAACAGCTTCATTGTTAACCAAACACAATACAATGAGCTGTGGCTTTGGGTCTTTGATTGCAGATAGTATTTTCCGTAAGATGAGTTTTAGTAACTCTCATATGGACGTGGCCTTCTGTGCTTGAGGAGAAAACTTATTTTATATTGCCCTATGGTTCTTGGTTTTGTGTTGTTGTTTCTTTTAAGCCAAAGGATCACTGACATAGAATATACTTGGTTTGTAGCATATACAAACAGCTTCATTGTTAACCAATCACAATACAATGAGCTGTGGCTTTGGGTCTTTGATTGCAGATAGTATTTTCCATAAGATGAGTTTTAGTAACTCTCATATGGACGTGGCCTTCTGTGCTTGAGGAGAAAACTTATCCACGGAGAGCAAAAAAATAATGAAAAGTCTAGATGTGACCCTCATGGGCCCCAAGCCTCCTGAGTAGCAACTCAATGGAAATTCTAATAAAAAGTCACCTCTCCTCGGGCCTAGACCTTGCCCTCTAGCTCACACTTCCATTTTGCACGCGGCTCACCATGTGAACACACCCTTTCCTTGGGAAGGAAGATGCACCCAAAAGGCTATGATCCATCACTGTCCCCTGAGACACGTCTAAATACCCCCGCGGCTTCCTGACCCCAAGTCTTCCCTTCACCTTCACCTTCTCTCGTCACCTCCCCGTAGCCACACCTGATGGCCCATCTGCCATCTGGACTTCACAGCCTCTTCACCTGGCCACAGAGATCCTCCTCAGCTCTATTTCAGCCGTGGACGTGAACCTGCAACTCGCATCTCCTCCTCGGACAGACAAGCTCTCCGGCCAGTTTTCCCTCGTGGCCTAGGAGTGTTTACTTCTCCCGCAACCGGGTCCTACCGGGTCCTGCCTAGAGCACGAGAGCCTCTCAGGATCTGCTCATCCCTCCTCATCCCTCTTTATCTGCCCCTCCTGCAGCCTCTGTCCACCTGGCGGCCCTGGTCTTGGGGAGTCAGACACGTCCACGTGGCCTTTCTCTCACCGCCACACCCACGGTGCCAGTCACAAATCCTTGGTCACCTTGTGGCTCAGTGGTTGAGCGTCAACCCGTGACCCAGGAGGTCACGGTTCGATTCCCCATCAGGGCACATGCCTGGGTTGTGGGCTCCATCCCAAGTAGGGGGCGTGCAGGAAGCAGCCAATCCATGATGCTCTCTCATCATTGATGTTTCTCTCCCTCTCCCTTCCTCTCTCTGAAATCAATAAAAACATATTTTTAAAAACCAGAAAAACCTTATGGGTTGAGGCTACGACAAATCCATGTCAACTTCCACGGGGTCCTCACAGCTGCTTGAACTGTTATGTTCCTGAGGTGGCCATCCTGCCTCTAAGTAGGAAAAGCATTCCCGGTCCGTTTCCCTTCTGCTGAAGCTCTCCCTTTGTCGTTGGAGGCGGGCCCAAGCATGTCGTCCCAGGCCCGAGTCTATTTCCTTCGTGTCCACGTGATGGGCGAGGATCGGGTTCCGTAGCTTGGACGGCATGTCCCTGCTGCCGGCAGCCCCTTCCCGGCCGGGCCCGCTCTGATCTGCTGCCCTCACATCTAACTGTTTCAACACAGGCTCTGCTTCTCAGGTTGCAAGTCCACGTTTCGCCGCGAAGGCATTTCACTTTCCGCTTCAGAGGGACAACAGTGAAGGCCACCCCAACATATGCCACTTGGACGAGTTGATTCTCTACAGCTGAGGCCACTGGAAAAGCAGCACAGATAGGGGCGAGGCTTCCTCTGCATTACTCCCCCACCCCCCGAAGACAGATCCCCCAATAAGAAGTCAACTGTCACAAATCCCCTCCTGCAAAGATTCATCGGACAGGGAGCCTGGCCCCCCTCAGAGGAGGGGAGACTAGTGGCTGACTCCATCACACACTCTCCCATCTCTCATCTATGCTTCCAGGGGCCCATCTGCCTTTCCTAAAAGCCATCTGCTCTCCCCTGCGTGGCCTGCCTCCTCCCTCCCCTTCGTCTATGCAGATGGAAGATGAGCTCTCAAAAATCCCACCGCTGTTCCCAGGTGTTCCGTTTTTTATTCCCTGTGACACCTTGTGCACATATTAAAGAATGAATAAATGTGCACACTTTCCCCCCTGGTAACCTACCTGATGCCAAGTTATTTCATAGACCCAGTTAGGGCACCCAGGCGGGAGAGGGGCGTCCCTCCATCCCTATGACAGCCCTGGGAACGTGAATTCCCTTTCCATTCACCTGGGCCAGACTCCGCAGCTCCCTTCCCTCCGAGGCCACCCTGCTGGCGGCACCGCCTGCCCCAGGCTGGCGGACTATTTCCCACACCAACACCTCTCGTCTGCGCCTTTGTTCCCGGGGCCTCCCACCTCCTCCCACCTCCGCCTGGGCCTTAGGCTGCACGCCAGATGTCGTCCAACTCCTCGGCCTGTAATTCACGGCCACCACCTGCCACCCGCAGCCAGTCCTTCTATGAACACCCGGTCCTCGCAGAACCGGTTCACTCACTGCTTCCTGACCTCTCTCCCAAGTCGATGATTACGAGACGAGATTGAGAGAGAGAGATGGATGAATGACGCTTTCACACAAACATGTCCTTTTCCGAGGAGCAGAAAATAACCTTAGGGAATCCGTCTTCACAAATGGGCAGTGCTGGTTCCTCCGCGATTCTTCTCTCCAGGTTTCCAAGAGAAAATGCAACACGAGGAAGGTGCTTTTGAACAACACCTGCCGCTTCCTTTTAGAAAGAACGGAGCAATCTACGTGCTCAGGGAAATAAAGGTGAATGCTCCCCGAACCCCAGCCATGTGCCAGCGCATAAGTAACCCTTATTTAGTCCTAACGACCCTATAAAATACGTGTTACTCCCATTTTACCAGGGAGCACACAGCCAGGGAGAGGTTTAAGTAATTTGCTCGGGCACATTCTGGTGGCTCGTGGCGGCATTGAAATGAAATCCGGTGACCTCTTGGCTCCTGGATTGATGCTCTACCACTGAGCCACATGGGCTCGGCGAATGTCCTCTTCTTGAGGGATAGATACATCCTGAATTAGGTTTACCTGATTGATAGTTAAGAAGTTCTAAAAACGCATGTCAAAAATAATACGTAGGATCCCCATCCATCTTAAAGGAACGGGAAAGAGGGGAGCGTGCCTTTGAACAGCCAAGACAACTGGAACGGGCTCAGCTAAATGAGCCGAGACTTCTAACGAAGCTACGTGTGGGGCGGCGCCAGCTGGCACCTCTGAGACCGGGCCCAGCCCGGAGAGCCCTGAGCCAGGGTGTGGGGGTGCCCAGCTAAACGTTGGGGAATAAAAATACTCAGTCATATAGTTGTTAGGGGTCCCCTGGGTGAAAGGCATCGCAGATCTAAAATACATATAATTAAAATAAGAATTCTAAATCGGAAATCCGTAGGTTCTCGTCTTTGTGCCTGGCACCACAATCCTCATACACCAAATCCCTGCTGACTCAGGTATTTCTAATGGTCGAAAGCCGTTTTTATTTGTGAAGTTGTTGGACAAAGAATATATTCTTTTTCTTTTATTGTTAGAAAATATTGTCCAAACAGGTCAAACAGGTCTGAGAACCGGCTGGAGAATGCAAATATTGTAACTCAAAGAGAGAGAGGAAAAGAGAGAGAGGAGGGAGGGACAGAAAGAGAGGAAAGAGGGAGCGAGATAAGGGAGAAAGGAGAGAGGAAAGGAAGGAGCAGAAAGAAAGAAAGAAAGAAAAGAAAGAGAAAAAAGAAAAGAGAGAGAAAGCCAGACATGAGACAGAAAGGAAATGTGTAACAGTGGTCAGGGCAGGAGAATGAGAAATTTGCATACCTCTGTCGTAACACAATTTGACCACTAACACATGGGCTCTATAAAAAAGTGCAGTCCTACATGCATTTCCACGTCTGCTGCTAGGCCTGCTGGAGGTATAGTATAGACATGTAGGTATATATCTGACCGTCTCTCTTCACAGGCTACCTGAAAGCATCCGTAAACCCAAGTAGATTCTGAATTCAGGGGTCCATCCCACATCACTCCTGGAGACTAAGAATACTTCTGGGAACAACCTGGAATCTAAAAAATGTGGTCAGACTTTCAGAATGATCTCATTACTCCCCCACTCCCGTCTGCCACCGCAACGCCAACCCAAAGACTGTCCTGTGAATGATGATACGGGCTGCCTCCCAGATACGACTGCCTCGGGCTCTCCCTGCGCTCCTGACCGCGTGGCTCTCCCACGACCCAGGCAGCACCTCTCAGGCTCCCAGAGCCCACTACTCCTCAAGGAGCTGTGGGGCTCTCGGCCTCTGTGGCTCCTGAGGTTGGGACGTGAAGGGTTAGCATTCAACCTGGCAGAGGTCGGCGCTGAAAGGAATATAGACGTAGAAAAGGGTGGTGCAAATCTGGCCAGCCAGGCTGGTTACACCTTGGAGGTTCCCAGAAGTTAGAGGTGTTTCCTGATCCAACGCTAAGGGCTAGACCTGATCGCCTGGGTTTAGATGCACAATTTGTACACAGGGCTTATTTGAAAGATGGTGGGTTTAACTTCCGATCTTTGCACATCTGGTCTCTGCAGACAAGGAGTCCTATATAATAAAAGCCTAATATGCAAACTGACCGAACGGAACTGGTCGCTATGACGCGCACTGAACACCAGGGGGACAGATGCTCCATGCAGGAGCTGCCCCCAGATGGCCCCATAGATTGGCCCTGATGGCCGGCCAGGCCTGGGGACCCTACCTGTGCATGAATTTCGTGCACCGGGCCTCTAGTTCAAAATAAAAGGAAAGGCCAAATCTCAAGTTCCACGGCCACGTTTTGAATGACTTACCTCAACTTCCACCCTCGTGTAGGGCTGGCAGAAGGTGAGCACACACAGCTGAAAGCTGAAGAGGAAAAAGAGAAGTTCCCTTTACACGGTGAGACAAGGATCGTCTAATATTACCCAAGAACCCCTTTCCGCACACAGAGCACTCAGGCCAAACATCATACATATTTTGGGTTTATAAATGCCCCATGGCAGCTGTAACACTCCTTAGACTCAGATTATTCTTGACATTCAAACGTTCAATCACTGCCCGGCTGGTGTGGCTCAGTGGTTGAGTATCTACCTATGAACCAGAAGGTCACAGTTTGATTCTTGGTCAGGGCACATGCCCAGGTTGCAGGCTTGATCCCCAGAAGAGGGTGTGCAGGAGGCAGCCGATCAATGATTCTCTCTCATCATTGACGTTTCTCTCTCTCTCTCCCTCTCCCTTCCTCTCTGAAAGCAATAAAAATATTAAAAAATAAAGCATAAGTTCAATCCCTACATGCAATACCATGTATGTATTTGTGAGTCAGAGCTGCAGCTCAGCAGACTGAACCCCAACTTTGAAATCTCCTTGACAACTCAGATTCAAAAGCCTATGTCCCTAGAGAAACTACCCAAGGCCAAGTTTTTTAAGATTCATAAATGTGTTTACAGGATAACTCCAGAGTAGAACATTATTAAACTCTTTTCTGATATTTAAAAAACAAAATCAGTCGGCCTTTCTTAAAAGCAGAAACTGAATCATAACTGTCTCCGTTACTAATGTTTTCACTGTGGGGGAATTTTCTGAAAAGTCTCAAATGTCATGGTAAAGCTAGACAAAGGTTTCCATGAGATGGTTACAATCAACCCTCTCAAAATAATTTTTGAAATAGTTGTTCCAACTTGAAGCTTTCTAGTATATATACAGACTCTCCAGATAAGAGTTCTATGGGATTTTAATCTGGCCAAGTGGATCAGACTACATGTTTGTGAAAACAACCAACCAAACTTTTTGTTTTACTGTTAAAGCAGCTAACATATGATTTAATTGTAAACAATTACTTGAAGAGACTTAAGACAAAAACTTTAGGCATCTAAACAAGGAATTTAAAGAGAGAATGTAGAAAAATAGATCGACCAATTTCATAACTGTAAACAGTTAACCTAAGTATCAGTTCTCAAATCTTCCATCTACCGGGGGAAGAAAATATTTCACTGTCAACCGCAAGCAAACAAAGTCAACCCATATTGTCTGCCGTAATTATTCTTTAATTGAGCTTTGGAAGTCAGTGATTTGAAGAGATAATTCTAAATGCTGTAAAAAAAATAAATAAATAGAACCACACCTACGATTCTCATTACACACAAAGCAAACACCACTTCTTGGGCGGACACAGATCTGCTTTTCCATGGCTGCTCTTTCTCTCAGTTTATTCCCCAAATTCATGAGTCCTCTCCTGGGTATCTGCTTGGGGGTAGAATTTCTTAGAACCCGCGTCCCGAGTAGCGCATGGAGCAAGGGCGATGGAGAAAGCTGATTTAGCAGGAACAGGCACAGAGCTGAATACACCAGGAACCGGGTCAGAGGACAGGGGTGGGCATGAGCGTTCCCACAAGTGAGTGCAATGGGGTGTGTGGACACACAGAGGGGTGCCTTTTGAAGGCTCTGTGTTGGTTGCTAAGTCCTAAGACATCTTTCATTCTGACCACCTGGTTTTCCCTCTTTCTTTTCCGAATTCTCTCTCCTATTTCCGTTTCCCCTTTACCATACACTTCCCAGGTTGGAAGGCTTGATGAACTAAAAATCCTCTATTTTCTAACCCCGTTGCCCCTTCCAGAAAAGCGTTCCCTTGTTTGACCTTCACATCCACCTGGACAAAAAATAAATAAATCATATTGACTGAACAGTGAACCCAAACTCACCAGCTCCTTAAGGAACTCAACGTGTGAAGGCTCCAAGGATGGCCCATGTTAGGATATGGAGATACACTCTCCACCCAATTTTTAGGCACCTCTTTCTCTAAAATGCTCTCGTGCTAATTGTTTCTCCTAAGTTTCCCTCGTTAAAAAACTGAACACCGTTACTCACAACCAGTAGCACCATGAAAGTTTTATTCTAGCCAAATGAGTGCACCGATTTCCTGGAGAGTGAGCGGTAACATGATGTCTAGATGCCCTTTGCGATTTCTGCTCTTTATTTTGGGTGCAGTTGACCTTGCTTCAAGGACCGCAGTGTAAGAGGAACATACCCATCTGACATGTTGATCAGAGGTAACAGGTGCAACTGGTCCATCCGTTACAATGTCTGACTTAAGTTTATTATTTCAAAGCAATTCACACGCACAAATTGGAGAGAGAAAGTGTAGCAATATCTGACTTTCAGAATTTGTTGGGATTGTCTAAAAAGGTTAGTCAAAGGGGGGAGGGAGCCCATAGTATACTTTGAAAGCAAATGATTTCCTTTTCAATATTTCCACATGGTTGTCACCTGTCCACCAACAATGGTCCTTGAATTCTGTGCATAACGGTATCAAAGGCATGACCGGAAAACCCCTGGCAAAGCCCCCCGATCCAGGGGTTTGACATGTTTCCCACCGAAACATAAACAGGCCGCGGACGGAGGCTCTACAGGTTCCGTCCTATTTAAAGGCCCGTTTCACTCCGGCTTGGTTAAGAGTGAAACTGCATTCCTCTCCTCTCTGAAGGGTTTTCAGAAACTGCTGAGCCCTATGCTTCTCCCATCCAGAACGGAACTGCAAGCTTGGTTAGCTCTTTTCTCAACTCACACTTTAGGCCAGTGGTCGGCAAACTCACTAGTCAACAGAGCCAAATATCAACAGTACAACGATTGAAATTTCTTTTGAGAGCCAAATTTTTTAAACTTAAACTATATAGGTAGGTACGTTGTTATTAACTTAATTAGGGTACTCCTAAGGCTTAGGAAGAGCCACACTCAAGGGGCCAAAGAGCCGCATGTGGCTCGCGAGCCGCAGTTCGCCGACCACGGCTTTAGGCCATAGGACTGCATTACTCCGGACTGCTTAAGCCCAAATATAAATAGTAAAATAACAAGAAAGACATTAGATAGTGCTGAGTCGGCAATGAAAAGGAAACCACAGAATTAAAGCTACAGAGGATGCAAACTAGGTCGCTGGGATGTTGCCAAGAGGCGATGGTTAAGCCCTGCAGACCCATTAGAACATGACAAGGCAGGAATTCTGTACATGGGGCCACGGGGTCAATGGGCAGGAGAGGGATGCTCTCTATGGAGACATGTCAGCTACAAGATTTAAGGATCTGATTAGAAATCTTTACTTTCACAAAAGCAAGTCTTTTTTAAAAAAACAAACAAACACAACTTTCTTTTTCCCCACTAGAATGAAATGTATATAAATAACAGAGATGAGCGACTTACAATGTATATCCTTGCCATGTCCACGTCACAGTGTCCTACAACAACAAGAGTATTTAAGCTGTTAGTTCCGAGAATACCAAATGAAACAGAAACCTTATTTCAATACGGGTAAGCATGGGCTCTCTCAATGAAAAGCATGATGCTGGAAAATAGAACCAGCATGTTGTTATTGTTAAACAACAGTGGACTGAACCATGCATTCTTGGATCATATATCTACAAAGCCAAGATCCGGCTCCTTTATGTAACCACCTTTTTATGGAACTAAGTTGTTCTGACTTTTAAAAAATCTACCGTGCATGCTTAGCTATTTTCCTCTGAATATGAACATCTTTGGATAATGAATTTGCTTACAAAACCCAAAAAACATCAGTTTTTCTAAAGAGAGAGAGCGAATAATTTGGGAGAAAAGTTTAAAGTAATGCAAAGGGCCTTAGCCAGTTTGGCTCAGTGGATAGAGCATCGGCCTGTGGACTACAGGGTCCCAGATTCGATTCTGGTCAAGGGCACGTGCCCGGGTTGCGGGCTCAATCCCCAGTAGGGGGCGCGCAGGAGGCAGCCGATCAATGATTCTTTGTTTCTATCTCTCTTTCCCTCTTCCTTCCTCTCTGAAATAAAAAAATATATTTTTTTAAATAAATAAAGTAATGCAAAGTGAAGGAAGTTGAATAAATGAAAAATGCAAACCCATAGTCAGAAATACAATGAGTAAAAGTCTGATAGATTTTCATTTTAACTACAGACATCCATGGTGGCGAAACCAGCCACTGAATAGAAAGTTGACTTGATCGAGAACTCCTAATCTTCACTAACAGGCCATTAGCGACTACATCTTGCCTTTTTATGGAAATTCCCTGGTAAATGAAGGTCCTCTCAGCCCCCAACATCCTCCGAAAACCTGGGCTTAGGAGAATGGTGGCACAATCCATGCCCACAAGACAACCAGGTGCCCGCCAGGAGCAGAAGTGACCATTTCCTGAGCCAAATGGGGACTTTCTGGAGGGTTTTAGGTCCTTTTAAAATATTTTCTGATTGAAGCTACTTGCCAGGGGTCACACAGACAGTAAGTCCGGGGCCCGTAATTAAACGCCAAGCCTACCCCACCCTTCCCCTGCCTCTTTAATCCTCGCCCACCAGCCACGGCCAGTGACTCCGGAGAATTTCCTTCTCGGCTTCACGAAAAGCACAAATGGATGCGAATTTTCTAAGGAGACCCTGAACCTGAGGGTGCACCGCACCACCACAGTGACAACAGAGCAGAAGCCGAGGAGGCGTCCGCATGTGGCTTCGTCGTAGCAAAACCAGAATGCGGTCCTGGCATCAACAAACACAGGTCTGTCTGGGCAACGCTTAAAAACCAAGGGCAACGAGATTCCCCCTCTGCTCCCGCCACTCATCTCTCCAGACCTTCGTTCAAATGACCGGAAGGGGCCCTGGGGCATCTGTGCTGTTGGGAATGCCTGAAAGTCTCCCCAGAGGGAAACAGGGTGCTTACCAGCTTGTTGGGGTATCGGAGGAGGATTGGCTGCACGGGCACCGCCGGGATGAAGGCGCCTATGACCAGGATGAAATCTTATTACCAAGGCTTTGTGTGGGTACAGGTTTTACAACAGAGAAAAAAATGTAGTAAGAAAGGACACACAGAAACTGCCTTCAGAGCACACATAAGAAACTATTTGCGAGATGCTGGTAAATCCCTTGCGTTTACCAAAAGGCGAGGTTTTGAAAATGCAGAGTTATGTAAGCAGAATATTAAATGCTGGGTCCGTCACTTAAAATAGTCACTTACTTACATCCCCATCTGCTTTCATTTTCCAAATACCTATTATTTGACAGGGACTTTCTTTTTCGAAGTCATGGCAAAAATCAAGGCAAAGAGGAAGTAAGAAAATCGAGACGAAACCAAATGCTTGAAGCCAGAACTACCACAGTTGACAACAGTGGGTTTTAACGTTGGCTGTGAGCATTCTGGCAGCCAATACAGAAACGTTTTAAAGTACAGTGGGGCCTTGACTTACGAGTGTCCCGACTAACGAGTTTTTCGAGATAGGAGCCGTCTCCCGGCCGATTTTTTGCTTTGAGTTGCGAGCTAAAATCCGGTTACGAGCCAGCTTCAGATACCCCACCGCTAGTTGGCGCAGCGAACGTCACAGTGAACGCCACAACATCAGCCCAGCATCACGTGTCTCACTCGTTCACTTTAAGCGGTTAGCTCTTAGTTGAAGCATCACTGTTGTGCTCGCATTTGTGCTTGCAGTTATTTTGCAAAACTTCGTTTTTGGGTGTCCGGAACGGATTAATGGCGTTTCAATTCATTGTAATGGTGAAAATTGATTTGACATACGAGTAATTTGAGTTACGAGCTCCGTCATGGAACGAATGAAACTCGTAAGTCAAGGCCCCACTGTATTGCCAAGTGCTGTAAAATTACACATTACTATGAAACTTGTGGCTTGATAATATTAAAAAAATTAAACGAGCCTTAGAAGGCATGATAATGATCATTGAAACAGGTTTCCACTTGATGACACAGGACCCTGGGTGCCTGTGACCAAGTCCTTGGAGAAAAAGGAAAATTCACCAGTAGGTTGAGTGCGCGTGCGCACACACACATACACACACACACACACACACTTTCTCTCTCTCTCTCTCTTTCTCTTTCTCTCCCAGGAAGAAGGGGTTATGAGACCAAAAGAGAAAGTAAAGAAGTGCATTCTGTGGCTTCGTAACTTTAAGAACTTTTTGCCGGAAAAGAAGCAACGCTCAGAGCAAACCAACGCGTTCTGTTTGTACATCACTATCAAATCATTCGAGAAATCGCCCATACGACTTTGTCACAATACGTAATTTAATTGATCTCACCTGGTTTAAAAGTAATCAAACAGGAGCGATTAGTACAAGTACCTTCTGGGAAAACTAGTATCTTGGAAGAAAAGGAATAGATTTAATATTTCAGTCTAATGAATTGATTAGCTCATCATTCACTTTCTCACATACTTCACAGATAGCTGCCAATTCTTATAAAACAGAGACGAAATCAAAGGCTAACCCTTGATTCTAACGAAAGCCAGAGTCAGATGACAGGCATTTGGTCTTCCTCTACCAGACATGTAGTCTGCCCAGTAAGGAATTAGAAAATAGATTAAAGCTTTGACTAGAATATACACTTAGCAAATGTTTCTTGGTGATACTTAGGATCTGAACAGATTGGGAAGATGATGTAGACCTAGGTCACAGTCAAGGGCAACATGTAGGCAATATTACATTTTTTCTGCTGCTGCTCTACATCCTCAACCACATCGTTCCCTACTTCTTTGTTTCAGTTCTCCCATTAAAAGATATCACTCCCGCCCTAGCCGGTTTGGCTCACTGGATAGAGCGTCGGGCTGGGGACTGAAGGGTCCCAGGTTCGATTCCGGTCAAGGGCATGTACCTTGGTTGCGGGCACATTCCCAGTGGGGGGTGTGCAGGAGGCAGCTGATCGATGTTTCTCTCTCATCGATGTTTCTAGCTCTCTGTCCCTCTCCCTTCCTCTCTGTAAAAAACCAATAAAATATATTTAAAAAAAAAAAGATATCACTCCCAACAAAAGGCATGGAGGGAAAAGGAGGAGCCAGCAGCTTACAATATGCTTTGTCCTTACTTGAATTTGTTGAGCTATGAAACACAACTTTGTATCTTTTTGAGGAAGTGTTTGTAGCTATGAGCATACTTCCTTATGTTTTCCATGTGAAAGACACACAGTAGAGTCAGTTTCCCATTCACTGATTTTCTGACGTGTTTCGAATTGAGCAAGGAATAAATCGCCAAGTACATAAAACAACATAGAAAATTCCTGCTCCCCCTGCAGCTAGTAATGAGTATTTCATAATAATTAGAGAGAGAAACATCATTAGGCTAAATCGCCACTATAAAAGGTTATTTGTACAATTAAAATTACGAGGAGGTGCCCATTCCATCCTCCAATTTAAAAAGAAACTGGTTTTCTATGACAACCCTGACTCATTCAGCGGACATTCTCTAGCTGCCCTGTTAACAATGAATCACGAAGTCTCAGAGCTGGAGGGGGCATTAAAAGTCAACGAGCATTTCCAATGCTTGAACTCTCTCTATAATATCCCCCGCTTGTGGTTTCAGAAAAGGATTCCATATCAGACGATTCTCCCTCTGGACAGTAAGTTCCTCGAGTTGAGCAAAATGAGTGGAAATCTACCTACGTGTTAACTTTCACCTACCAGTCCTAGATCTATTCTTTGGATCCAAAGAGGAAAAATGGAACCCTTATTCCAAATGCCACTTCTCCTCATTCACTTTTATTAAACCACTAGAGGCCCGGTGCACAAATTTGTGCACTAGTGGGTCCCTCAGCCTGGCCGGTGATCAGTCGATTGGGGCCGTCTAGCCCAGACCCTATCGGGGCAATCAGGGCCAGCTGGCCAGGTTGGAGGGACCCCAGGAGGTTGGCCTGCCGTGGGAGGTTAGCTGTGGGAGAGCACTGACCACCAGGGGGCAGCTCCTGCATTGAGCGTCTGCCCCCTGGTGACTGGCTGACCGGTCGTTTGGTCGTTCGGTCTTAACGGTCGCTTAGGCTTTTATATATATAGATTCCTCACATGCCGTGGTTTCTACAGCCTCCCAGTGGGCCATGCTCTTCTGGGTACTCTAACATCTACACATCGTCAGGGATGGCCAGATCACTGCGGGGCCATTAGTTCTGCTAGCGATCACCTGCTTTCACCTGGGCAAAGGTAGAGAAATACTTACCAGCATCACCCATGGGGCTTTCTTTCTCCCATCAGTGCTGCCCCTCCCTCACCTTCAAAAGGCATTCATTCCAGTGGAAGGGGGTGATGAGATGGTCAAGTGTGAAAAGCTGCTACAGGTGATTCTGACATGCCCCCCTGAACTGAACAGCTCTATCCAAATTTACTTCAGATAAGAGTCAAGATCTTAACTACTTTTTTAGCATAAGCCCTCCATACTGTTGAGTACAACAGAGCATTAGCATCTCGTCTTTACAAAGGAAAATAAATTGAGAGGTAGGGAGTTTACTCTTTATAACACAAAGTAAAAACTGGTTCAAAGAGTTCGGATAATTAAAAAAAAGAATGATACATTTAATTCCCTGAGTATCCCATGGGGAAGGGGGCTTCTCAGATTCAATTCTCAATGTATTCACGTCAACATCGCCTGGGTTTTACCTGGGGCCATTCCCCTCCTGAGGTTGCTCGCCTTATGATTTCATTTATTGTGTTTTTTCGGGAATCCGGGTCTACGCGGGATACCAACACTGGCTGCAGAGCCCGTAACAGTCCTTTAAAACAAACAAAATTTACAACCAAGCCTTTTTTTTTTTTTTTGGTTAACGCTACCAACGTGATAACACTGGGTAAATCATTAAACAAACTGTATGGAAATTAAAATGAAAGCAAATAAAAGAGAACAACTTTTTAAAAAAAACACCACACACACCCTCTAATTCAAAGTTTATTAGAGCTTAGCTTCTGGTTTTAAAAGGAGAGGTGGAAAATTTCTAGCTAAAAACATTTCATTTGACTTCACAGACATCAGCAGCAGGAATATGAAAAACAGTAAATGCAATTTGTTCCCTACAGGTCTTCTTCCTCAATTGACATTAAACTTTTGAAATGTCAAGATTGTCTGATTTTATTTTAGGGACGTCCCGAAAACTGGTTATGTGAATTCATAGTACACAGGAGTCCAAAGCAATTACTATTCATTTTACTAAAATTTTCAGCACAACCATCTTTTAAATGCCTACCTTCCTAGCACATGCACAGTAAATCTCAATTTACCAAAAATCCATTGCTATGCGACTTTTCAGGAAAATGCTTGTTACACAAAGCAGGAGTCACACTGAAAAAGAGCGTTGTTCTTAGCCGAATGAATGACTAGTATTTCCACAGGTACCAAGGCCACATCAGGCAACTTTTATGCTCGCTCTCTCATCGTTTGATGCTTGCAATGACCTTGGGACCACAGGGAGCAGTTACTTGGAGACCATTCCCCTAGGGAGGGACGCAAGCATCGGGTGGGAAAAACATTTCGCTTGCTTCATTATTTTTTACGGCAGGAAGCACTTACTGTTCCACATCATAATTTTTAGAGATTTACACATGGGTCCCTCGTGGAGGTTTGGGGGAAATGAAAAAAGCAGAGTTAGGACAAAAAAATGTAGTGTGTTCATCAGCCTAATGCCTGAAGAGAAATTCATGAAGTAGCATGCATCGGGCGCTTCCACAAATTCTGTGGTTAAATTCTCTCTCTCAAAAAAAAATCAAGCATGTTTGGTATTTGAAAAACTGGCCTTTTATATATAAGAACAGAAAGAGCCCTAGCTGGTTTGGCTCAGTGTATAGAGCCTCGGCCTGGGGACTCAAGAGTCCCGGGTTCAATTCCGGTCAGGGGCATGTACTTGGTTGCCGGCACATCCCCAGTAGGGAGTGTGCAGGACGCAGCTGATCGATGTTTCTCTCTCATCGATGTTTCTAGCTCTCGATCCCTCTCCCTTCCTCTCTGTAAAAAATTAATAAAATATATTTTAAAAAAAGAACAGAAAGAGATGATGGTACAGTGCTAAAAGTAAGATTTTAAAAGAATTACAAGGGTTCATATAGAGGGAAGTTTAATCTTTTTTCATAGAGTCATTCTTTCGATATCGTACCTCATTAAAAGGAAGGAAATATGTTTGAGATATTTCATTATTTTTAAGTGTCTTAAAAACCTACCAGTAAACTAAATGTGATTTTTACAAGGCACGAATGTGGAACTCTTTCATCCACGTTACCTTACAAGTACTTACTGCCAATCAGAGGCACCTGCACATTCTCGTTGCGAGAAACCATGGAAGGTAACCCCGCGGCGACACAGGCAATCCCATCGAAGAATGTGGAGTGGGGGGCCACGACAAAAATCGGGGCTTCCACGGGACTTGCGATCTTCCCTTTCACAGTAACTGAAAACCCCATCGAGAAGAACATGGCCCGGCCCAGAAACTTCAAAACGGGATGAGTAATTTTCCTTTGAAAACACACATGGAAAGGACAGAATTAGCTTTGCTCACTGCAGCTAATGCTGGGCATTACGCTAAAACACAACGTGGAACCCCAAACGTATCAGAACACTTCATTTTAAAATACAAGCTAAGAAGAATAACTAACACTTCCATGGAACGCTTTCTGCCAGGAACCATTCGAAATCCTCTACCTATATGAATTTCTTTAATCCTCGGCCCAATTTTATACAACAGGTGTTACTTACTATTATATTATTATTATCCCCATTTTACAGATGGGTAAACGGAGGCGCAGAGAAGTAATTTTTCCCAAGGACATATGGCTAGTAAGCGGCTCTATTCTTCTGTGACTCTAAAGTGAATAGAGTGAGTTTTCAACACACATCCCTCTGAGAAGTTCAAATCAGTATTGCCCTTCCAGGGAATCTACGTGTGAGTAACAAAGATGCCGCTATCTCCCCGAACACTTTTAGAATTCTCATGCTGAAACTGTCCTCAGCGTTATTTTAGGAATACTTTTTAAGAAGTCAGCCTTCTAAGACATCATCAAGACTCTTAAGAAAATTCACCATCTCACTGTCATTCACTTAGACAATTCTGGAAATCTGATTGCTAACGTTTTCCAAAGGATCGGTCATTAAAGATGAGTAATTCATCACATTGTGCCAGGAACTGTGCTGGACACACAAGATAAGTAAAGTCCAGCCCCTGTCCTTAATAGACTCCAATGAGTAGAGAAACCAAAACATATACCCCTAGAAATGGAAACACCTATAGCTTTTCATGAAAATACAATACTACATACATCCTCCCATAAGACAACTGATGGGAGTTTTAGCAAGTGGGCTTCCTGTCTAATTTTCTCAACCATCTTGTACGATGACAGTGAGGAACGATGAAGCAACTAGCTGCTGAGGAAGTTGGTCTGACCTTGACTTCACAGCAAGGAGAAGTGAGACACAGAAAGCCAAAGTGCTTTTCCAGGGGACCCAGAGGAATGGCCGCCTCTCTCCTTCTTGCCCTTCCGTGGAGAGTTAAGATCTCTATTGATGTAGTGATAAAAAGCTCCCTCTAGCCCTAGCTGGTTTGGCTCAGTGGATAGAGCGTCGGCCTGCGGACTGAAGGGTCCTAGGTTCGATTCCAGTCAAGGGCACAGGCCTGGGTTTTGAGCTCGATCCCCAGTGTGGGGCGTGCAGGAGGCAGCCAATCAACGATTCTCTCTCATCACTGATGTTTCTATCTCCCTCTCCCTTCCTCTCTGAAATCAATAAAAATATTTTTTAAAAAAAGCTCCCTCTTTCATGGAGTTCCCACAAGTCCTATTTCCGATTCATAGTGATGAAGCTTCTGACAGCTACATTCCAAAGTACCCCATATTTAAAATCGCCAGACTTCTAGTTAAAATGTATGGGTTTTTTTTAAATGGCTAAAAGTCTAGTGTTGCATAATAACTCCAATGTTACCTGTTTGAGAGGAGGCTTCATTGAAGAAAACAGAACTTCCTTTTCCAACCTTTATTTTATCTATTTTCTGACCTTTTACTGTTCTTTTCCTTATCATAGGTTTCTACAAGCCACTGATAATAGCAACCACGGAAATAAGTGAAAGGAATCAGTGGGTGAAGAAAAATGTCACTTGCAGTATGTTTTCAGTGACAGACAACCTAGAGTCATAAAACAAGGGAGTCTGATTTGCAAGGATTGAGGTGGTATAATTTCTCCCCAGGGCATTGCGGGCCGTGGATTTAGTTCTAGTTCACACCAGCTTCCATGTGTTTCATGTTGACATTGTTCACTCGAACATGAATTGAATAGCAAACTGCATATTTCCTAAAAGGCTCCTAAAACAGTGTTTCTCAAAATTTTGGGAGGACATAGTCTCATTTGAGGTTGAGATAAAAGGAATAGACCAGTGATTCCCAAAGTGGGCGCTACTGCTCCCCGGTGGGCGCTGCAGCGATCCAGGGGGGGCGGTGATGGCCACAGGTGCATTTGGGGGCGATGAGTAACTGCTATTAAAATTAAAAAAAAATTAATTTCCAGGGGCTGAGTAATATTTTTTCTGGAAAGGGGGCGGTAGGCCAAATAAGTTTGGGAACCCCTGGAATAGACCTTTGTGTACAAAAAAAAAAAATAATGTGCACAATTTCAGAAAGTTTAACAGTGCCCTAAAACTCACCTATGGGTTTCTATGAAATCCCAGGAGTCCTCGTGAAGGGCCTTCGTTTGCAGAACATACGTTCGTATGGCAACAAGTGGGTTCTGCCCCATGGGAATGGACTTTTACCAGTAACTCCAATTTATCATTAGTCTATTCTCTAGCACGAGGCTAATTACATACTGCTTGAAAAGCAGTTCCAGTGGCCTCAATGCTAATGGTTAATAAAACTTGGCTATACTGATTCAAATAATGAAATTGTTGTTAATAATAATCACTAAAGCCCTAGCTGGTTTGGCTCAGTGGATAGAGCATCAGCCTGAGGACGGAAGAGTCCCAGGTTCAATTCCGGTCAAGGGCACATACCTCAGATGCAGGCTCCTCCCCGGCCTGGGCCCTGGTCAGGGCTCGTGCAGAAGGCAACCCATCGATGTGTTTCTCTTACATTGCTATTTCTCTCTGTCTTTCCCTCTCCCACTCTCTCTAAAAATCAATGGGAAAATATCCTTGGGTGAGGTTTAAAATAATAATCATCATCATCACTAAAGTAATGAGTTAATATACTATAATTTGTCCACTTAATTATATCACTTACTGAAGTATGTAGTTATTATAGAGGGACAAAAGCAAATGTGAAAACTCAGGAAGAACAACAACGAAAGAAGCCGGGTACTTTTCCACTGCAATGGTGTCAGGTACACTAACCGGGTGTTTGAGAACCAGGGATCTATCCCTCTTTGGCAATAATTCAGAAAACAAAACGTTTTAATATTAGGAAGCAACAACTTCAACAAAAGGCGATCTGTTCTTGGGCAGTAATTCCTGCATATGATCAATTAAGAACAGTCTCATCTGAGAAACAAAAATAAGTAATGAAAACTGAGTAGGTAGCAGTTAGATAAAACTACTGATCACTAACTGAACGTCTGAATGGCGATTTACTTAATATTTTGATGTAACGATTTCTTACCTCCTCCAACCAGTTATTGGATGGGTCGGCTTATCAGGACAGCATACTGTTGAAATCGCAGCAAATGGCCACGCCAGTAATAAAACTAAGCCAAGCAGTAAGGCACGAACCGGAAGCAGGACAATTCCAAGAAAGAAAGTCTGAAAGGCAAAGTTGATTAAAATAAGAGGCTGTATCTTTTTTAAAATGTCCCTTTCAGCCACTGTACATACCGGCCAACATCTGGTGTTGCTAGTGTCTTTAAAACATCAACTTTACTAAGACACCATTTACATAAAATAAAATGCACCTAGTTGAAGTGTGTAGATTATGCGTTTTTCAAATGTATATTGCTATGCAAACACCACCACGATCAAGATATAGAACATTCCAGTCACTCAACAAAGGTCCCCTGTGCCTCTTTGCAGTCAATACACTCTCCCCAGCCCTTGGTAAACACTGAGACTTTCTTTCACTATAGTCTTGCCTGTCCTAGATTTTTACCTAAATGGTACCACACAGTATGGACTTTTATGTCTGGCTTCATTCACTCCGTATTTTTGAGATTCCACCATGCTGCCATATGCGTAAGGAGTGCAGTCTTTTTCATTGCAGAGTATGATTCCATTGTGTGGATAGATCACAGCTCACTTATCCACTCATCTGTTCATGGACAGCTGGCCTTATTGTAAGTTTTTGACTATGAAGGTGAATGTTCACGTCCCTGTGTGAACATATATGTTCGTATCATTGGGAGTGAAACTGCTGGGTCAGAGCATGCTTCACTGTGTAAGAAACTGCCAAACTGGTTTCCAAAGTGGTTGTACCATTGTGCATGTCTAATAACCAGTATGAAAGATCCTGTTGCCTCACATCCTCACCAATCCTTGGTGTTGACAGTCTTTGCAGCCATGCTGGTGGGTGGAAATTGCTAGCTCACTGAGGTTTTAACTCACACTTCCTTGATAGACGGAGCATGTTTTTCAGGTGTTGGTTGGTCATTGCTTTAACTTGTTATTTTAAGTGCCTGTTCGAGTCTTTGGCCCATTTTTACTGGGTGGTAGTCTTACTCATATCCTTTGCAGGAGTTCTTTATATATTCTTCCTAAGAGTCTTTTGTTGATCGACATATGTATTGAAAATATGTTCTCCCATCCCATGGTTTGCCTTTCCAATTTCTTCACGGTACCTTTTAATGAGGATTGCAATTCTGATGAGAAAAGATGGCAGTGGGTTGGCTCCAAGGCAGCTCAAATAAAGACAGCCTGGCCAATGGCCAAGAAATAATCCTGAAAGGAAGAAAGGACCATAGCATAGACCCTGAAGGAAAAGTCGTGATGAGGTTACAGGATATTCCTAGTAGAAGATTCATTAACATTCAAAATGAGCAGGTAACATGGATTTTAATTAAGTTGTCAAATAGTGAGCAACCTTTTTTTTTTCTGTGCCTCTTCCATGTAGAGCAATTTTGAGTAATTCTGAAAAATTAGGAGGATTCTCCATCACATTTCTATTTGGTAATATGTCATCTCTGTAGAAAGACATTCTTTCAACACTCTATCAGGCTTATCCTCTTCTCTGCGCTTACAAAAACATGAAATTATATGTTTTTGTACTTGTTTAATTTTTTCTGTGAAATATAAGCTTCAGATAGGCAGGGTCCTTATTTCTCTTTTCACTGCTGTATCTCCAGAGAAGTGTATTGTGCCTGGCACATAGTAGGCATTCAAACAGATATTTTTATATGGTAAATGGCCCCACAATTACCACGAAACACTCATTTCCATCCCATATTCTGCTGAGGAAATGAAAGCCAGGCTACTCTTTTCCCATGCCACTCAGTAGCAGAACCTTAAACAGTCAAAAAAGAGAAGTGGGGGTGGAGGGGCAAGCTAAACCCTGACATGAGATGCAAAAGTGATAACAGTCCTTGAGCAAGACACTGATCATCACTCAAGATTAAATTTGAATTCAAACTAAATTTAGTCTGAATTATTCACACCAAGTCATACTTAAATGAAAAAGTATATCCACCTTTTAAACTGGATAATATAGCCAACATTGTTTTTCAATTACATCTACCTTTACCCAGACCATTCAAGCCACTGAAACTTATTTTGCATCTCTGGTCTACGTGGATTTTTAGCTTTTAAAATAAATACCCAGACTATATTCCATTCCTTTCCACACAAATAGCAACTTTTAAGTACTACGTTAAAAATGTAGACAACCAATAGCATCATTATCAATATTAAGATCAACGAACAATACCCGATTGTTTCACACATTGCTTCACTTAATTTTATTCCTCTTTTGATGTACTTTATTCCAAATTAATAGATGAGGAAAGTGTAGTTCAGAGCAGGTAAGTGACTTGGCTGGAGACATACAACGAATGGGGGTGGGGTGGGGGGGGGGCAGGGCATGAGATGTTCTCTGACTGAGACCAGTGACCTGTCCATTGTACCTCAGCTCTTGTAGTTACTGGGAAGTGCTCCCTCAACCGTAACAGGCTATTAAAAAACAATAATTTCCTCCGGCTGCAATACAAATACTTACAGTCTGCCACTCTGATCCTCTTTCAAAAATATGAATGACAGTCACTGCCCTCAGAAGTGTCTCTACATTTTTAAGACACAATGGGAACCTCTACCCACTGACAGACATGAAGATCCCAGTTTCAAATGTCTCATTTCTTGACAAAGAGCTGTTACGACATGGTTTTCCCCTTCCTCTCACACCCTTCTTCATCCAGACACCCGTCTGTCATCACTCCCACCACCACCCATGCTGCTCAGCCCAGCACTCGGCCTGCCTGCACTGCCCAAGACCATGGATGGTCTCAGTGCATCCATCACACTATGTCCAATCCAAAGGAAAGAAACCTGTGATGCGGACAAGAAAACATCTGCCCCCACCCCCATACAGACCACAGGGGACCAATGAAGCTTGCGTAGTCTATCTTGTTCTTTGATCACTAACTTCACCAAAGAGGAAGTCCGAAGAGTGAGGGTTACTGTTCATGGGAAACGCAGCGCTTTACCAGAAAAAGGACAGGAAAGGACACTTCCTTTTTGCATGTGGCCGTTGTCAACAGTGGAGGAGCATCCGGGCTCCCTCTCATCCTCGAATCTGGGAGAAGTGTTTGGGTGAAGACTGATTCGGGGCCAAAAAGAAACACCCCAAGCTGACCCTCATCATCCCTTTTCCCGGATTCCCATTTCCTACCCTTGATGCCTCTGCTCGGCTGGGTCTTCTCAGTCTTACTTATTGTTCCAACCCCAGACCTGGGCTCTCTGCGTTCTCACTCACCCTTCCCATCCCACACTCACTTCTCTCCTTCCCTAAACAAACAAAATTCCCCAAACCCACGCTCCTGTGGAGGCTGGCCCCCAGCTGCATCCTCACACTCCAATGGAAGTTCTCACGGATCCACTCCCCCTTCTCCGCATGGAATGAATGCGTCCTCCTGGCTAGGACCTCCGACTCAGACCCACATGTGCTCTGCACCTTCCCTTCCCACACGCCCCCTCCACCCCCAGACCATCCTCCAGGTCCCTCCATCCTCGGACCCACCTCTCCGCCCCTTGCAGACTCGTGGCCCCTGCACAAGCCTCTCCTCTCGGATCTACAGCTCTTTCTCCCTCAGAACCTTTGCTTCCCAGACTCACGCCCCCCTCAGATGCCTCCCCTGTCACACCTATGGCACCCTCAGACCCTCTCATCTCTCAGATCCTCGCCCCTCACCTGGCCTGCCTCCTCTCTCTGACCCAAGACCCTCACCTGGCTTAGCCTCCTCTCTCTGACCCACGCCCCGCCCCTGGTGCACCTTCTCTCTGACCCTCGCCCCTCGCCCCGCTGCCTCCTCTCTCTGACCCACGCCCCGCCCCTGATGCACCTTCTCTCTGACCCTCGCCCCTCGCCCCGCTGCCTCCTCTCTCTGACCCACGCCCCTCGCCTGATGCACCTTCTCTCTGGCCCACGCCCCTCGCCCCGCTGCCTCCTCTCTGACGCACACACTCACCTGGATGCGCCTCCCCGCGCCCAGGCGCGTCTGCTGCACGAAGGGGTTGCGCACGGGCGGTGGGAAGAAGGACGCCTGGCGGGGCACCATCTGCGGCCGCATCCCCGCGCTCCCCACGCCCGCGCCCGGCACCGTGGCCGCCACGGCCGCCGCCTCGGCGCACCGGTTCATGGCGGAGCGGGGCCTCGGACCCCACGGAAGAGACGCGCGCGGAGCGAAGCGCGAGAGCCCGCGTCGCCGGCAAGGTGAACCGAGCGGCACTGGAGTCCCAGCCTCAGGCTCCTGGCGGCGGGGAGCTGCGCAGGCCGCCGTTTACCTAACGCCGCCGGGTGTCGCCCCCGCCCCCGGGCCTCTGGTTCCCGCCCCTTCCCGCTTAGGATAGAGGGCTGGGGGTAGTCTCCTGGGGGGATACAGCTCTGCCCCTTGGGGAGTGTATGCTTCCCCTTA